ATCTCAGAGGTGCCCGTGCCAGACGGCAAATAGAGCGCAGCCCTCCCGGGTTGCGTACGAGCGAGGCCATCGTGGTATGGTGCAGCTTCGTGACCACGCGCTCTTGGTCTGGTCTCTGGTGGGGGTACAAACGGTGATATGGGCGGCTTGATTGTTCCCTCGCTTAGGGTCCGCCTAGACAGATATGCTGACACTCTGCCGACTGCTATGGAAGCGTAGCTTGGAACACGCTGACAGAAGGGCTTCTGACGGAAAAGAAGAGAAATGAGGAGTGTACTGATGGGACAAAAGCACCGCTGAATCGCAGGGCGCGGTGCAATGACAAGTTCAGTGCGGAGAAGCACGCTTTGAATTCAATGATTGCTTGGAGTCTCGGATAACGTCGCCTTTCCGAAGCATAGCGAACGACTGCCACGCCTGCTTGAGGAAGGTCTAGGCGGGATTTTGACACATCTTTCCACCTCTGTGGTATGTAGTAAATTCTTGTCCATTACACCCTTTCGTCCTTCAGTCTTGCTAATATAGCGTACACTAAGTTTCCTCCAACATGGATGGAGTACTAAGGGTTTTCCTTGCGCTCAATTCGATCCATTGCCGCCTCGTCGCTCAGGTCTTCCTGGCCTGGAGCCCGGTCTGTACGCGGTCCATCCGACGCGCCTTGTCCAAAGCTGTTGGGCTGGACCTTATGTTCGGTCATGCGGGTGGAGCCTTTCGCGAACGGGTCATGGGTGACTCCCCCTGGGACATTATGCAGCCTCTTGGAGTCTACCGTCGAGGGTAAAGTATCTCCAGTCCCTGTCAAGATATCTTGCGCAGATGTATCCCTGGTGGTCTGTTTAAGGTTAGTTGTTGCTCTGATGGAGAATCAGATGTACATACCCTCGGAATGTCGCCCGCATTGTCTGCAGCGTCTGCCAGATCTCGACCTCCAAGGGCGTTTGGATCGTAAGCCGAAGCTACCTGATCAGGCCGTGCCACCGAGGGAATGGCTCTGGGCTGTGCCGAGTCCTCTGGTACCTTCGTTCCTTTCTGTGCCATATCAAAGAGGTCGCCCCCGCTGTTTCGTCCGGAATCGGCCATGTTGATGTTGTGGTTCGGTTCTTCAGAAGTTGTTGGCGTCAGTAGTTGTGTTCGCTGAAGGTTGTTATGGTGCTGTGACTGTGTCTTGTCGATGCTTTGGAAACAGACAAAGTCCAGCTGAAGTGTGACAATTTATTCGTCGTGCCTGGGACGATCAACGGGTCGTGTGCTCGATGTTCTTTTCGTCATCCAGGGGCAAAGATGATGTCACGGATGGCGTCCTCGTTGGTGCTCGCACCCCAAAACTGTTGCGTTTTGACTCCATCGCGAGCACTGGCCATACCCGTAGTCCCACCACGTACCTTCAAGTGGTTGAAGCGCGAAAGCAAAGGGCGTTCTCGCTCATAAGACCATACAGATGAAGGCTCACCAAGCAGTACTCGTACTGGTGCGCCGCTGCTGGTGTTTGGATCCCGCCTCTAACGTGCACCGGGCGGACCATCCCCGCATTTGGCGAGAAGCCGAGGTTCGCTGCTGCACCGACCATTGACTTCAATCTCTAACTTATCACACCTCGCGTCCAAGGCCATAGATCTTTGGTGCTGCGACATTTCATCTTTGACCCATTCCAACTTGCCAGATGCATTGTACCTATTGATTAGAGCAGCGATCATCTTGCCCGCTTACAAGAAGTCCACGTTCTTCGCTTCCGGCGAGGTCAATACAACATGTACGGACCCAACAACGGTGTTGTCCTTTACCATTATTCCTTCTCGCCCGTTGCAAGGCGCGTGTTGTGGTATTTGAGTTTGCGAGGCATCGATTACGCTGAGTGTGTAAGATCTTCCACCTTGAGGTCTCACCTGAGTGGTGCTGAACGATACAGAAACAACCCCCGGTTTTGCCCAGACCCGATGTCGCTGCATTAGGAATCAAATATAGGAGGATCCCATTGATGGCCATAGGGCGAGATGTCTATTGTGACAGTCGCATCATTCTCCGCAAGTTAGAGGCGCTTTTCCCCAACAGTACCTTGAGCGCTTCGAACGGCGAGGCGAAGGCAGTGGAGAAACTCTTTGAGATATGGAATATGGAAGCAGGCCTATTTCCGAGGGCATCTCAACTGATCCCAACAAGTATGCCGCTTCTGAATGATCCTCATTTCACGAAAGATCGAGAGGACTATTCTGGGCGCTCTTGGAGTAAAGAACAGATCGAGGCCAACAGGCCGGAGGCTTTGGCTTCCATCAGGAGTGCTTTCAATGTCCTCGAGACCACCTTGTTGGCAGACGGACGGGACTGGGTGCTGAAAACGGATCATCCGACCTTGGCAGATATTGAAGGTAAGCAGGAAGTACACTGCGTCACTACCAGTCCACTAATGCAAGTGCCCAAAGCAATCTGGACGTTTGATTGGCTCAATGGCCTGAAGGGAGCTTTGCCCCGGGAACTGATCTCTGACAAGAAATATCCCAAGGTCTTCGCGTGGATGGCGAGGTTTAACGATGCCCTCAAGGCTGCCAAAGCCAAAGCGCCGAAACCGGCAACCCTCAAAGGGGACGTTGCAGCTGAGCGGATACTCAGCGCTTCGTTTGTCGAGAAGGACCTGGCCGTTGACCCGGCCGATCCTCTAGGATTGGAGCAAGGCGCCGAAGTCGAAGTGTTCCCCATCGATTCGGGCATCCATCACCGTGACCAAGGCCGCCTCATTGGGCTGACTGAGGACGAAATTGTCCTGAGCATCCAAGCGCAGGGAAAGGAGCTCCACCTGCACTATCCGCGCGCAGGATTCCGCATCAGAGCAGTGGCAGCCACGGGCAGAACACCATCTAAGCTGTAACCATGACCATGGAACAGCCAGGTATAGCATGCAAGCGTCACTGTACGCATCTGCAGTCCCCTTGGATCTCATTCCGTCGCAGGGCAGCAGTGATTGACCGTCATCCTTGCCCGAGTTACGCAGGTAGCGAGATGCTCAGCCCAACCGAGACACTGGGTATTCTGTGTGTTACCTTGTCTGAATGCTATCCTCCTGTCAAAAGATTGGAAAGCCAGAGCACCGAGTCGCACCTTGTCATACCATTCGTGACCTGTCCCTCACCCTCTTTACTAGCAATCTGGCAACGATAACTTGAACGGACTGCTTGAGAAGTCGGGTCCGGGAGCCGACCCCTATCAGGTCGAATGAATAGTCCTAGCTATCAGGTGAAACGTTCGCTCGACCATTCCTCTCTTTTCCTAGCTCCTCGAAACCGCGGGGCGGAAGCTGTGAGAAGTGGTGACGCAGGCTTTCTTATGGATATATGATCTGATCTGATCTCAAATAGACGGTGAGCAGCTGGGCCCTCGGCACTGTACTCGCATTGAGCAGTCGTCCAGGCGGCTCGAGGTGAATGACATGTCACATGCAAGGGCGAAGATGAGGTGAGTGTGAGGTTAGTGCCCAACCTGTGGTTGAGCCTTCTCCCAGATGACCAATTGCGACGACATGACGCACTTCTTAGCTGCGACAAGCTGGACGCCTTCTGTGTTGCTGCCCAACCCATGGGCCTTTTGTTGAAGCGATTGGCCACCAACTGGCTGGTTGGGGGTTGTTTGAGCTCACCGGTGCCACTAGACTCATCTTGCTCGAGTCATCCCGCATCCACAGGACGAGACGCAGAGACCTCTCACGCCAGTAAGCCCAGGCTTCTGCAACCCTCCCACGCAGTCTCGCTTCTCCACGTCCGCCACCAGTCCCGAGGGTACAGAGTTCCAGCCATCGAACTTTATCGTTGCCTAGTGCAAGTACGGTGTTAATCCATTTTATCGACCCAGGGCGAGAATGGCCGCGAGAATTGCAATGAACAATCACAGGCTCCCGATGGTATAGTTGAGCGCCAAGTGGGATTTTCCGTTGAGCCCGAGAGTGCTGAACCACTGCTCGCTTTTGGGGGCTCGGGAACGGAGTACCGGGCAAGTGGTAGTTTGCTAGCGTAGACGGAAGTACCGTTGTGTGGGAATGCCACTACGAGTATGTACGGCATGCGTCGAACGACTGACACTTGAAGTTCCCGATGTCTGCACCCCTTGGCCAAGTGCGTGGTAGGCGTTGTTGTCGAGATACATCCAAGCGCTGTAACTGACCTGAACATTGGCTGTTGTATCTGCTCTTCCCGGTCGCCTCGCTGTCCCAGAACACAGCATGGGCGTTTCTATTCGATACCTGGAATGTCACCTTCTCTTCTCTGCTAGGCTGGTGCCGTGATCGCCAGTGGTACTACTGCCTGATCATCCGACTGATGGTTTCACGTTTGAAGGGTCGTGACGGTCGTACGGGCTCCAAGCACAACTCTGCGCACTTCAGCGATACGCGCTTTTAAATGTTTTCACCGTAGCGGGTAGCAACGTCGATTTTTGCGGGACGTCCACGGACAGCCCTAAGGTCAAAGAGACGCTGAACGCGAGGCCTAACGGACGTGGATGATTGCTCCCTATCTAGGTAGCCAACGGGTCATACTGCTGGGCTGGGTTGGGCGGCTGCTTGGGTCTCGTGGTCAACGATTGGCGGCTGTGTTAGCTTGCCTGGGCCGTGCAGATTCTGCCCAAACCAACGCAAAAGCGTCTTTCTGCCTGCGCACTCGGCAGTCCCCCTCCCTTCTCTCTTCTCATCTTCCCAAACCTCGTCCTCCAACACACCATTCCTCCGCCATCACCGTTTCGTCTGGACATCATACCCTTCGCTCCTTTACTAGGCATCAATCTTCCCATCCACTGGCGATCAGCGTTATCGGGACCTTTTGATTCATCCGTCTGGTGGATCTGTTTTACCCAGGACTCGGCTTGGCCCACAGGATTGACCAACACAATCCCCTCGCTTACCCTCCTACAGCTCTTCTGACACTTTTCTTCCCATTTGTCTGATCCGCCCTCTTGCTGCCCAACGGACAAGGAATCTCATCGTCGCGCGTCGCCGTTCATATATCTCCCACACTGTCACGATGTCTTCCCGCTACGTGGATGACCGAGACTACCGCAGCACCACTGACTCCCGCCGAAGAGCAGAACGCGATCCTCGGGAGCGGATTGAATCTACCAGGGAAAGAAGAATAGACGAGCGTCCGCTCGATCGAAGTCGAGATACCCAGATGACAGATGCCATGGACATTGCAATTGACCGCCGTGTGGACCCCCGTCTTGATCCCAGAATGGACCCCAGGATTGATATCGGGAGAGATACTGCAAGAGCAAACACAGCCAGCCGCATTGATCCTCCCCGGCCTGATCGTGTGGTTGACAGTCGTAGCGCTGAGCCCATTGAGAAGTATGTTCAAGACCCAACAACCGGACAGCTGTACCGCCAGGTTCCCGCAAGGGCTCCCTATCCTCGTGGCGACGACCGTGACTACGTTGATCCTCCACCCCCCAGGAGTCGGACATCCGTGGACCCTCCAGCCTCAAGAAGCCGTACAGCCGTGGACACACCCATGAGAGATGATCGCATTCGTGATGAACCCAGGACAGGCCTTGGAGATTACTGGTGCCCAGGAGAGGGCATTGAACGAGAAGTCCTTCAACACGAGATTTGCAAGTTTCTTGGACAGGATGCCACGTGTCGCCCCGGTCAAGATTCTCGAGTATGCTGCTCTGGTCGCCACGGGTAGGTGTCGTATGCTGACAGTCACCTGCAGGGACGTCCCGGATTTTGGGTCAGGGCTTATCGCCCATTCACAACGGTACGAAGCGACGCTGTGGCCATCCTCATCACATACAGCTACTAATCACATCTCGTACAGGCAATGGAGCAAACCCTGCGCGAAGAGTCTGAGCGATGGCTGCGTGAGAAAGAGAGAAGACGGCGACACGGCGAACCGCGAGGTATGCCTCGATCCGAGTCTCCCACGTTTGGTTCTAAGATTTGCCCAGGTTCATACGAGCAGCTGGCACAACAAGAGACACAAACAGCACGTCGCTACCCGGGAGATATGGACCTTGATGACGATGATTACCGGCAGCCTCCGCCCATACGGCATCGTGACCCACGCGATCCCCGTGACCCTCGTGACCGTGACCTGGAGCCTCCTCGTCCCGTGGCTAGTGGCCGTATTCCTGTCAGTACCGGCTATCCCCCGGAGCCTGGTTACCCTGCCCAGTATGCCATTTCCTCACAGCAGCCGGGATACCCTCCTGGCCAATCCCAATATTACGGAACGGAGAGAGAACCCAGGACTTTCAATGGCGGCAACACGACGCCTCCTTCCGCCATCAGCCGAGCCTCACAATCCGGAGGCTACGGGCAACCCGGATATTCGTCGAGGTCGGCACCACCGGTATCTCAGTCAGTACCAGCTCCTTATGACCCAAGGTCGAGAGATATTATGAGTGGTGCATATTCCTCTGGCTACCCTGAATCACGTCCCAGTAGGAGATGAATGCCGTCGTGCCCTCGAGCTCCATGCTACATATCTCCGGATGTTGCAATCCCAGCCCGGAACCCTACAGTGGCCAATATATCTCCCTGTCCCTGCCTGGTTCGGCCCTATATTACAAACGCGCAGCATCATTTACATTGCAATGCAATATCTTGTTCCGGAGGTACACGACCATTAACGCCGTGGATGACACCGGTTTGTGACAACAGCATCACGTGACCAGGACTTTTATGAGTTAAAGAGGATATCAGCCGGCATGGACCACGCTGGTTGCGCAACATGCATCAACGCATACGTTCCTGGAGTCGGGGTTGTCCATCATTTCCACGTGGGAGCACTTTGATCCCGGAGCCGCAATACATTTTGAACTCAGTCCGTCGGAGAATGATAACCCATGCGGCAAAGCCCGGTTTCGCGATCAGGATTTGGATGTACTTAGCATTTGGATGGTGTTTTGAGGTGGTTGTTTGGCTTGGCTGCGCTTTGGTCAGTTTCATGAAGCCAAAACTAATGCAACGACAACTTATACTCTGGTACTGGTCTACCATGAGTCTCACCGGAAGCTTCCATATCTTGTGCTCTTCTGATCATCGTCGACCTGGATGGCTTCACCCTTGATTTCTGCTCGTGATCCGGATGTCGCTATCGCACCATGGAAAACAAATACAGCCAGGCACTTCCGGATCTTCATTGAGCTTGAGCTTGAGCTTAGGAGAGAGTCCATGAACCTGGCTTGCAGCTCCACGGTACTCTCTGCCCGAGGACAAAGTGACAACATGGAGAACCCTGACTCATATTGCCGTGACCGCCGTCTTGAGGTCGGATCTCTCTCTGCTGACACGCCAGATAGTACCCCGGTCTTATGCTGTGTTTGCCACGATCGAACCTGTCTTTGCGGCCTGTTGGAAGTGTAAAACTTACTAGCATATTTCATCTGGAAGATCAGCTCCCAGACTCTGGCTGGTCCCCTCGCTAATCCAAAGAACGGTGGTCGCTGTTCCGACCGTCTCGCTTTGGATTGATTGGGATTTGCAGCTGGTAGCAGTCCCGCTTGATCAACACCACGGAAACACGCGGGTCGTCTACCTGTTCCATTCACATGATTGCGCAGTGGATTGTCGCCCTTCATCTTGTCACTTGCGGGTCAGTGGCTGGACCAATTTCACTGTCAACACTTCCACTTCCTACTCATTGCCTGAGGCGTCACCAACAAAAGCTTTTGTCCCCTTGCACTCCTGCTTTCTGCCTGATTGTTACCGCCTCCAATACTCACCTTTCCATCTACGTAAGGTGTCCTCCTCTCCACCTCCTCTCTATCTCCTTTGGATCCTCCGATACTTCTGACAACCTCCGCGCTGCCGTCAGGATGGCGGCTCCCAAGTCTGCATTCCCACATTTTGTGGACGGCGACGTCCTGATCGTCATCTCAACCACACAGCATTACAAACTGCACTCTCAAGTCCTCTCCGCCCACTCTACCTACTTCGCCGACCACTTTGCCTCCAGGCCTGGGCCCCGCCTCAACGCGCAGGCTCGTCGCGAGAACCTTCCTGCCTACCACTTCGAGTTCAAGCGCGCTCCTGATGGCGAATTTGGTGAATTCGTCCGCGCGGTAAGAGCAAAGGCAAACGCACAAGATCTGGCGCTGACAAGGCTTGTTGCATAGGACATCAATGAGTCTGGGCATATGGTAACCGCCGCGAACATCCCTCTCATGCCCGACCTGGATAATGGCAACACCCCCGACAATACTAACCGTGCCTGGGATTGGCTGTTTGGGGTTTTCTACAATCGCGAGCCCATCTTCGATGACACGTCTCTCGCCACTGTCCTCTCCTGCGTCGTCGCTCTCATCGAATGTGGCGAAGCCATCAATTCCATCGAACATGTCCGCGATGTGGTTGATCTCGCTCTCATGCGCCAGGACAATGTCCTGTGGACTTCAATCCTCGGTAATCCTCATGTTTGGATTGAGCTGGGCCGCCGCGTTCGCTCGCCAGCCATCTACGGCGAAGCAGTCATCCACCTTGTCGGCCAATGGGGCACAATTCCTGAGGGTGAGAAGAGTCGCATGAGCGAAGACATCCGCAAGATCATTACTCGCAAAGCGAACGAGTTGTCCGTCATGAAGGAAGCCATTGAGCTCCGCATCCTCGGCCACTATCCAGAGTTCATGCGCCGCTCTGCAGCCGACAAGCCTGGTCGTCCCACCTACGGCAACGACATCTACATGTGGATGGCTGTCTGCTTCTTCCGTCAATGGTTCGCTCAAAGCATCTCGGACGATCGTACTCGTCGTGCTCCCGACGGCGGACTGAGCTTCTACACCGCGCTGTCTGAAGGCGGCGACGCCTACATTTCCCACGTAGACTTCCAGGAGTTCCACAAGTACTTCCCCATGAGCATGAAGGCGTGCCAATTACTTGAGGCCAACATGGGCGTCTTGAAAGAAGATGTCAAGCGCTTCGTCGACGAGCTCATGGTCGAGCGTACCCATCTCAAGCGCGACGAACATATGGACATCGCCTGGCTGACATGCGTCAACGTCGAGAAGGAGGATCTCCCATGGCACGACCTGAAAATCCAAAAGAAATCCACCAGCAATCTGGCCAAGTACGACAACATGTATGACGAGGCGGCCACGGACGAAAACGCTATGGCTCAAGCTCTCGCCGAGGCCAGTGCAGCCCAGCATCCACCGTATCCCAAGGCTGAGCACGGAAGCTCATCTCGTGGCAAAAAGCGACCCCGGGTCAGTGACCAAAGTAGTGCCGGAGACTCGACCTTCTACCAGGAGTCCATTGGCACCAACGCTATGTTCGTCAGCGAGGATGGCGATATGATGGAGGAGTGATCCATGTTTCGGAGCCCAACCGGTCTCAGAGGGTCAGTTGTCGATGACGACCTCGCAGAGCTTGGGACTTACCATTGCGTTCACACGTCCGCACCATCTACCCAGAAGCCAAGAGATATCCCCTGGCTTTTTTCTCCAAATTTAAGCTTCATTTCATGAATGCTGCCTGGGATCGAAGCGCCTAGACGCCCGCTAATGGCAGCAATGGGTGCCAGGAGTTGATGTTCCGGTTGGCGAGCGGTCAATAAATTTTGCAGGCCGCTGCGGCGTTGGGAAGGAGCAGCGACTTGGACGGCATTATTACCTCCCCTAGCTTGGTATCTGGTGGGCATCAGAGCTGGAATTGGCCGTACCAGGAATTCTTCGAGACGAGCAAACTTCGTGTCGTCGACATGGCAGCTATCCTGTATCTTGCCAGCGCATGACGAAGGTTAGCTGAAATGGAGACACGGCGCTGATCGCGAGGATGAGCTTTGGACACAATTGCATTTGCTGAATATGCTTCTTTCTGTCTCGCAGGACGTAGCTATGTACAGAGGTGTCCTCCCCTTCTCCATCTACTTCAGGCTGGCAGCTGCTATTGGGGTGCGTGTTCCTGGCTCCTGCGCGGCTCGATTGTCAAGTCCGATGGCTTGTTGATTGCATCGTGCCCATTGATAGCGAGCACTCATTTCGGATCGTCGAAACCTTCGGGTATCTTCCTCGGTCCCTTGGGAACTGCAAACACACAAAGTTAGCAAGTTTCGTTCTGTCCTCGATCGCATCATTTCAGCCTGTTATATCTTCATTGGGCACGATTAATCCGTCGACCAAGTAAATATCGGATCGTCCAAGACTTCACGACCACTTGTCTCCAAGATTTGCCGACGGCACTCAGCCCCAAGGCACAATCAAAGGTATATAGCACCGAGCGCTCTTGTCATACGTACCAGGATAGGTCAAGGGAATCCGCGGCGGGTCCTCATCTCCAACCCACCGGCGCAGCGGTGGAATTATCGCGAAACTCGCTGGTCCCAGTCCTCCCAGCACGCAACTCCAGAAGATGGCGGGCTTCTCGTGCGCGGCCCAGCGCAGGTATCGGATCGGGGAGCCCCAGAAGCGGGCGGGCACGCCGGACATGGTGACGATTTCGTTATGGCTGAAGGGCGACTCTTTAGAGGTGCAACTGACTGCGAAAGGAGGAGGAGGAGGTGGTGCTGTAGTACGGGGTGGTTAGGACCGCAGGAGGGAAGATGCGGAACCCAGGTCGTGAACGCGGGATGGGGAGCTTCGTTCAGAGGAAGAGTCGGAGTCTATGCTTATTGTCGGGCGCCCAATTGACCCTTGGGTGGTAGGGACGGGATCGGAGCTTGGAGGAGTAGCTGTTGTTCGCCCTTCGGCGGGCTCAATTGCTGGGTTGAGCAGGACAAGGACCTTGTTGTCGATAGGGAAAGAAGGTCGGGGTGAGGCACAATTGAGCCTTGGCAGGAAAAGCGGGACCTCGCCGCTTTGACAGCCGCCTCGTGACTCCCACGTGACTCACCATCTTCCTGCTTCTTCACACCTCCAGCACCTCTCATCCATCCTACCTCCGTCGCCGCGGTCCTCCTGTAGTGCCGCGCGCACAGGCGCATCCTCGTCCTCCTCTGTCTCGACCAGGTCCTGAAGTTAGCGGCTATTGGGATAGTCCGTTCTGGGGGCACGGTGCCTTCCGTCATCCCTTGTGTAAGCGGAATTTGTACCTCCCCATTCAGATGTGGCCCATTGCGCGCTCGAGAGTGTAGAATGGATCAGCGTGCGGGTCTCAGCCCGTGGACTGCGAGCTTCTCTCAGCACACGCGTAAAGTCATCTTTTACAGGACGAGATATGATGTGTAAGTAAATATATCCTTCACGCCACAAGCACTCACCCAGGGATGTAAAAAGCCGTATCATCACCGTCTCTTCCGGTTCAGCAACAACGGCGAAAGAAAAGCACATCCTCTGTCCTTAAGGAGGCACCCCTAATCATCACGAACATGGACGTCGGATCGCGAGCGCATAGAGCGCCGACATTCTAGCTATCGGCTGTGTTACTCGTCGGTGCTTGACTGTCGCTACCATGATCTCTTACACTTCTGGACGGATCGAGTGAGACCCTTCTCACGACTCATATCACCCCTTTTCCGTAGGATATACTTTACGACCATAGCCTGCAGACCATCCCCACTGGCAGGCATGAGCTTCTTCGATTCAAGGGAGTTTGGCTATTCGTAACGTTCTCAGGTACCTACCTACGAGAGCGCATGCTCCATTGTCCACTTCCAACCAAGAATTCTACATTGCTGCATGACTCGGTGGTTTGGTTGACTGACCCGCTCGCTTTACATCTGAAGTCGTCTGTGTCAATCGTTGGTGAGTGCATGTCCCGTAGATATCCTGTTGCCATCGAAAGCGCTGTGGACGTCGCCACCACCGCTTCATTACGACGACTTGACATCACGACTGGCGACTGCGCCGGACTATGCCGGCGGCCAAAGAACCGCTATATCCTCCTTCGGTGAGGCCCCGTCACATTCCTTCGGCCCTTCATGACGACGACTCGGAAGAATCATGAGAAGATAGATAAGTGTCACTTGAGGGCACTCTTGGAAGGGAGGCTGCTTTATCTTCCTGGTTTTGGAGAGCCTTAGGAGGGACTGAGGCTTGGTAGGTCCACGAGAGTGCAATACCTAGGCAGTTAACTATGGTCTGGACTTGACAATTGCGTGGCATGTGGCCCATAAATATTACATCGGTCAACAAGAACATAGAGCCTGGCATGAGAAAGGAACATCTCCGCGCGAAACTTTCCGTAGGACTGGAGTTCTTGTAGGACTGGAAAGGGGTCGGCGAAAAATGGAGGACGTTGGCGGAACCGGCCCCATGAAATACTTGCATTGAGCTCCGCCGACGGGTTGCGGAGGTTGAAGGCTCTCGCATCAACGTGGCTCTGGGTCTTGAAAGGAGATGGGTACCCGTTGCGAATGATCAGTAAAGTCGGGCTGAACAGCTGATGATGTACATTTGTCGAGGCTTCCACCTGCCACAGACGGTCGTGACATTCGTCCGTGGTGGCCTCCCGACTGATTGACTGGCACGATGACTATCGAAAGACACTTGACTGGCGCCTGCGAGGAAGGTGAACGGCGGCACCAAGGAGCGATTCTATACGCTACCTAGTCTAGCTCGCGAATGAGCCAAAGGCGATCGTGTTCTACTGTGTGGCAGCTACTGGAATGGCTGTTGAGGGGGTGTAGCCGAGCCCGAAGCAAGACTTTCTCATCTGAACTGTGCAGAAGCCCTAGGCAATCGTCAAGTCCTGCATCGCTGCAAGCAGCAATCCCAGGCTAATGTGGATCGAACAGCACGTAGGTGTTGAAGCGAACATGACTGCCAAACAGTGGAGCTAGAAGGGGCATGGCTCTCAAGCAGGTTTTGTACCATTGAAGAACCACATCAATTACTCGAACAACCAGTCGTTGCCAGATTCTCATGCTTCGAAGCACCACTAAGCAGTGGTCCCCGGCTAAGCAGGTGGTCGATCTCCTGACTTTAGATCCCCTGTCTCACGTAAAACTGCACAGCTTTTCCAGGCACAGGACACCAGTGCGAGGCAAGACCATTATATGAGCGAATAGGAAGTAGAAAGTGTCGAGACCGGCTAGGTCAAAGCGCAGATCTCATGCATGATAGGCGAGCCAAAGCTTAGCTAGTCTCGGCATCAGGCCGAAAGACCCCGAAACCCGGATAACGGGTCAGGACGTAATGGGATACCGAACCGCTGTTAGTTAGGTGTGTCAAGTTAGTTGGGCTCATGTTAGATCCCGTCGATGACTCTGCGGAGACAGGACGTGCCTGAATGTGAATGTGCAAATGTAAAATTGACACAAGATCTGATCGAGAAGCCGATCGAGAAGCGAGCTCGCTACAGCTTCGTGAAAGCCGGAGTCTGGTTAGGCTGTAGGCGATCCCATGCCTAAGCGAGACGCATCAGCCAGATACGTCAGCGTCCTCTCGAAGCGTTGTAGTCTAAGCTGGGCGCTAGGCAACTTATCCCAACAAAGACTCTCCCGAAGACCAGTTGGGAAGACGGGTTGTACGGAGCTATATCTAAAAGTCTGTTTAGGAGATTGAAGGCGACCAATCAACTCGCCGCGTGCAGCGTATCCTCGGTGCTTGATTGGTCAACCTCGCCAAGGGAGGGATACCTGTGGACATGGCCTCCTTCCCGGTCTTCGATTTCTTAGGTACGAGTACCTACGTGGTACTGTGTACATCCTACCCAGAGAGAGGTGCAGCGAAGAGCAGTACGTTACGTTTACGGAGTGTCGCGTCCCCACTATATCTGCCTTCAGCATGGCTTTTAGGGAAATCGCTGTTGACGGCACTGCGTTAGTCCCACTGACCCATCATCTCACCGCCGGCCTCCCACAACAAGTAAGTGGACCACTGAACGGCGACATCAGAGTATATGGCGAATTACTCAATTGCCTGAATTGCCGGGGGACGCAGACGTCACAGGTACGGGCTACTGGAGTTCGATCTTGATCAGAAATGGGTTCTTCAAATGCCATATAAGGTCCACCATGCTTCTGACTTTAGATTTCGGCACGTGTGAGTTCCGCACGCCCGCACAACTCGTGACCATCGTGGTCTGTACACCTTGCCGATGGCTCTTTCCACAGTTGCGCGGACGAACCTCCTGGTCACCGTCATTGTAGCGCTTTCAGCTTGCATTCACGCTTCGCCATTCTTTCGTCGGTCTGATCACCCATCCAGCGGTAAAAAGTCCGCCGACTTCATCATCATCGGAGGTAAATCGTCTCGTTCTGAGTTGCTGGGGACGAGCTCTGACCCAGGGAAAACAGGCGGAACTGCTGGACTGACCGTCGCTGCGAGACTCGTCGAAGCGGACTTCACGGTGCTCGTGCTTGAGGCCGGGGGTTTCCCAGATAGCTATGGACTCCCATGGGATTCTCCGGCGCTGACAGGAGAAATGACTGGTAATGAGGCGTAACCTTAATTGCGAGATCATGGCTGAGCACACATTCCAGACACACCTGTCGACTGGAATTTCACTTCACTTGCGATCCCTGGTCTCAACGGGCGCACCGTCGCTCAACATCAAGGCTTCTGTCTTGGGGGAACAAGCTCGATCAATGGTCTCACCTACGGACGTGGTAGCCGCTCCATATACGACAATTGGGAAGCCATAGGGAATCCTGGCTGGGGGTGGGATGATGTCCAGGAGTATTTTGAAAGAGTCCGTGTCCCGAGGGTTTGTGGTGTTGAGACCTATACTGACGTGCCCTAGACCTGGAAACTTGTGCCACCGCCCAACGACGCACATTACAGGACATACGATCCGTCTCTGTACGACCCGAACGCTGGACCGGGTGAGCTTGGATATACAAATTTCAACCCGCCCTCCATTGACGCATTTGTCGAATCTCTTCCTTCTATTGGTATTCCCATTTCATTGGACCTCAATTCTGGCAACAACATTGGGGGTAAGCACGAACTCAGCACGCTGGACCCTCTCTCTCAGACAAGAATATCGAGCTACACGGCATTTTGGAATACTGTGGTGGGTCGCTCGAACTTCGAAGCAATCACCTTCGCTGTCGTCGAAAAAATCCTATTCCGGAGTGCCGATGGGAAAGAGGGTTCTTCCCAGCCCGTTGCTTATGGAGTGGAGTATTCGACCACAATAAACGGTCAAAAGCGCAAGCAAACAGCATATGCCAACAAGGAAGTCATCTTATCAGCTGGCACAATACAGACACCAAAGGTGCTGATGTTATCGGTAAGTCGTCCGCCGTGTCTCTCGATCGGGATTGACGTGATTCCAGGGCATCGGACCTCGCCAGACCCTGCAAGATCTTGAAATTCCCGTCGTGTACGACAACGAATGGGTGGGGAAAAAGTGAGTCCCCGTCTAATATCGGGAATACTTGTACATGATGCTGACAGAGGTCACTCTAGCCTTCGCGACTCACCCTCCTTCTCCATGATTGTAAAGACAACCGACGAGGCATCCACCAACAAGTTTCAGCACAACATGAACGCTATCCAGGCTGCAATGGCGGAGAAGGCTAGCGATCCAACCAGCTCCTCAAATCCACTTAATGCCATTGACGGGAACTCCGGCCCTGCGTATTCATTTGCAAAGCTCAGTACATCTGACTTGGAGGACACCGGCGCGTCGTACCTGCTTGCCAACCAATCTGACCAGGCGCACTACGAAGTTATTTTGTGGACTTCACTGTATCCATTGCCGGATAATGTTCCTACGCTGAACAACTACTATGACTTCAGCAACTACACTCAGGAATCCTACGTGTCCCTGGCGTCGTACTTGTTGGTTCCCGGCACCGGTGGCAACGTCACTATCAATTCGAGAGACGTTTCCTCACCGCCTCTGATAAACTTACCGGTAAGCTTTCCTCATCATCCAACTCGATTTCCGCCGCGCTGACCGTGAGCTGCGCAGTTCTACGAACTTGACGCCGATTTAAACATCCAGATACTGTCCCTGAAAAGGCTCAGGACGTTGATCTCTCAGAGTGCTTTCGCGTAAGTGACAAATGTCGTTCCGGGAGACCTGAATGGTGATGGCTTACTCTTTTCCGTCAATTTCAGGCAATATACTCTTGGCCCGGCTTACGGCGAGATAGTGCCTGGACCTGATGTTCAGACGGACGAAGATATTGCCAATTTCATCCGTGAAACGAGTGTTTCTGCTGCCCATCAAGCTGGCACCGCTGCAATGCGTCCACTGGACGATGAAGGCGTTGTGAGCCCTTCGCTTGAGGTATACGGAGTTCAGGGGTTGCGCGTCGTCGACGCTTCGGTCATGCCGCTCTTTGTGGACCAACACCCGACCGCTGCGATCTACATGATCGCGGAGAAAGCTGCCCAGATGATCAAGGACAAATATGGCGCGGAATAGAGGTGCAGGAGCTCTGAAACTCAGGACGGCCACGGTGGTCATTTCTGATCCGCCAAATACTTTTTCGAAGACCGAGAGACCGCAAGCAGGGAAAGCAGCGGATGGAGAAGGAGATAATAGTAATAATGACCCGGTCGTTGGGACTCGCGCCGTGTATGAAGATCTCTCGACGAGTCGTAAGTAATGAGAAGCCGGTATCTGACCTGACGGACCCTTCTCTCCGTTGGCATCGAAAGATGAGGACGAGAAGGAGAGGACGGTACAAAGCTATGAGATGGTGGAGGACGGGATATAACCTGTACGGTTGTGTACACAAGGTGCCCTGAGCAAAGTCCCATCAACCACCGGATCACCTTCCTGGCTACACTAGCGATGAGATAATTCTCACGTGACTTTATATTCACGTGATTTCATCCATGGGCCAGCTAGGGCAGAGCACAGAGCGGCATCACCATTGTCCCAATCCGGACGTGCCAGGTTGTACGCACCACACTTGACTCTCATACGCCAGGAGAGCAGAGGCAGTGTTCTGCACGCAACTCTCGACGCAGGCGCCACGCTGCCTCGTGCAGGCCAGCTGCGCTGTAAAGATGCATTTCAGCCTGATGGGCATTCTTCATCATGATCATGGTCCAGAGTTGAGTTTCATTGAAACGCCCGGTTGCTAACGATTGTCCCATGTTGACTACGCTCGCCCTTGTGCTTACCTCACCGTTCATCAGAACTGCGACCACTGCACTTCCTCCGTCCGTTCGGGCTGTGAGACGGATATATCACATCCCATCGCGATGAGCAGCCGAGAACTCTGAATAGTAGTAGACGCCCTTTCTACCGAGCCGATGTTCCTCATTACAGCGCCGCCGCGACATCAACACAATGCACCTCCTAGAGATCGACAGCCAGGGCGAGATCAGGCTGACTGAGGACCTCCACGATGGCATCCCCCCCTACGCGATCCTCTCCCATACTTGGGGAGACGATAAGGACGAGGTCAAGTTCGACGACCTTAAACACGAATCATGGAAGCGTAAAGCTGGCTATACAAAGATTCTTTTCTGTGCCAAACAAGCCAAAAAGGATAACCTCAAATACTTCTGGGTGGACACGTGCTGCATCAATCAAGCGAATTTCACCGCATACTCCGAGGCGATCAATTCAATGTTTCGCTGGTACCGCGATGCAGCGAAGTGCTATGTCTACCTGCCCGACGTGTCAGTCCGCGAGGGAGATGAAAACCACATAAAACGGACGTGGAAGCCGGCTTTCCGAAAGAGTAGATGGTTCACCCGTGGCTGGACACTTCAAGAGCTGCTAGCGCCAGCCTCGGTTGAATTCTTTTCGCAGGAAGAAGAGCGCCTGGGTAACAAGGAGACACTCGAACAGCAAATCCACGAGGTCACAGGTATTCCGATTGCGGCGCTCCGTGGCGCGTCTTTGTCGCAATATAGTGTAGAAGAACGCTTGCAATGGGCAGCTAATCGGAACACCACCAAGAAGGAGGACAAGGCATATTGTCTACTTGGGATCTTTGATGTCTTCATGCCTTTGATATATGGGGAAGGGGGAAAGAATGCACTTGACCGACTTCGGATGGAAATCGACAAGTCAGGGAGTAAACCCTTCACTCAAACCCCCGCGGCCACATCCGCGCCTGTACAATGCGGTAAGCCTCGTCGATTATCTGTTAATGGTTGCTGACGTTTGAGCAGACTCCCTTCCCTCATCGACCGAAGGTAATGTCGTTAACGATCCAAGAAGAGGAAGCATGACGGCCGATGAGCAGGGAAAATATCAACGACTTCTTAGATCGTTAACATTTGAGCGCATGGATTCTCGTCTTCTGAATATCACCAATGCTTTGCCGCAGACATGTAGGTGGATATTCGACGAAGAGAAATTCAAAACGTGGATTACACGAAACGAGGTCGAAGACAACCATGGCTTCCTCTGGATCAAGGGGAAGCCTGGTTCAGGCAAATCGACAATAATGAAGGAGGCTCTCAAAATGGTCAAACGAGAACAGCCCAGAGATATTATCATCTCTTACTTCTTCAACGCACGAGCCCCGGGCATCTTAGAGAAGTCAAGTGTTGGAATGTATCGCACGCTGGTACATCAGATACTTCAGGCGCGGCCTCAGTCAAGAGGACTTTTCTCCCAAATGTTTGCTATGAAGGACCGGGAAGGTTCGGTTGACGACTGGACACCTACAGAGCTGCAAGGATTCCTAACAGATGTTGTGGAGAGCCTGGGAGACCGCACACTCGACGTGTTCATCGATGCTTTGGACGAGGGCGACGAGAACGACGTACGTCAGCTGGTTGCTTTCCTTGAAGAGCTAAGTCACAGGGCAGTTGCATGCTCTACGTCCCTGAGGATATGTCTCTCCAGTCGTCACTATCCACACATCAGCATCCGGAAGGGTCTTCATCTTGTCGTGGAGCGCCAAGATGGACAGAGAGATGATATTGACAGGTACGTTCGACTTAGACTCCACGGCGATGAAAGCCATGGGACAAACAGACTCAGAGAGCAAGTGTGCCAAAAGTCATCACGCGTGTTCCTCTGGGTCGTACTGGTCATACCAATGCTCAATGAACTATACGACCATGGTCTGGTTGCAGCCATGGAGGCCCGTCTCAAGGAGCTCCCCGAGACTCTGGATGGTCTCTTCGCGGAGATTCTGGCAAGGAATGCCGAAGGCATCGACTCATCTGTCTTGCTTTTGCAATGGGTTCTTTTCTCGATGCGGCCACTCAGCCCGGTCGAGCTATACCATGGAATTCAATTGGCATTGGCATCTTCGCCCATTGAAGGTGCCACGTCGATGACTAAAGAAACAATGGACCGCTACCTGCTCAATTGCTCCCGGGGACTCATTGAAGTCACTAGGACCCGGCGACCTGTGGTACAGTTTGTACATGAGGCAGTTCGAGATTTCCTCATTGGGGAGAATGGCCTCAAACAAATCGACACCCGTCTGGCTGGAAATGTCAAGGGCATCAGCCATGAGCAACTCCACACGGCCTGTTTGCGGTATTTCGACCAATGTCTGCCATTGAATCCAGACTACCGGGGCGAGTCCGTTCCCAAATGGGGCCAGCCACTGGATCTTCAGCAGAAGTTCCCTTTCTCGGAATACGCCGTTACCTGTATGTTCCCGCACGCCGACGTTGCAGAGTCTAGCGGAATCCCACACCGGGCTTTTCTGAGGCGGTTTCAAAGCAAAGATTCTCACGACCTTTTGAAGTGGATCCAGTTCCGCAAAAGTTTTCAGCCTCGCAAAGTCTACGAATATGCCATAGACGTGCATTTACTCTACATTTTGGCCGAGCGAAACCTGGCCAATCTGGCAAATGTGTTGATTGACGACGGAGTTGACGCCAACGCTCGTGGGGGACTTTACGGGAACGCATTGCAAGCAGCCTGCGTAAAATACCATGAACAGATGGCAAAACTTCTTGTTAAAAGTGGCGCGAGCATCAATGCTCCGGGTGGCCATTATGGTAATGCACTACAAGCGGCAGTAGCGCGCAGTCACGAGCCATTAGCTCAACTACTCATTGAGAACGGAGCAGATGTCAATGCTCAGGGTGGCGTTTATGGTAATGCACTACAGGCGGCAGTAGCGCGCAGTCACGAGCCATTAGCTCAATTACTCATTGAAAAGGGAGCAGACGTCAATGCTCAGGGTGGCCTTTTTGGCAGTGCACTACAGGCGGCAGTAGCGCGCAGTCACGAGCCATTAACTCAACTACTCATTGAGAAGGGAGTATACGTCAATGCTCCGGGTGGCCTTTATGGTAATGCACTACAGGCGGCATTAGAGCGCGGTCACGAGCGGTTAGCTCAATTACTGATTGAGAAGGGAGCAGATGTCAATGCTCAGGGTGGCCATTTTGGCAGTGCACTACAGGCAGCAGCAGCAAGATGTGGCACTAGTATAGTCCGACTACTGGTTGAGAACGGAGCTGTTGGGCGTTCTACCGGCAATGGACGACAAGTGGCGTGACAGGATTGTGGGTACCTGGATTGGCAGATTGACATTCGACGCCAGAGGTAAAAGTGTACTCAACCAAGGGTTTCAGTATTGATCAGAAAAAGGCTTTTCTAGAAGCACTCTCTATACGTGAGCGCCTGCCGCTCCCTACATCATATCAGCTGCATATCCTTGGGGGTATTAGACGCCCTTTGGCAACGACAAGTCCTGCTTCGCCTGGACCATGCATCGATGATATGAAACTTTGTGGGAATTCGCCAGCACGGATGAATGCTTCCCCCAGTCCGATCCACCATACCTCCAACGCCAATAGATGCACTTTTGCGGGCATTTGAGTTCCACGCCTCTGCCGTGGGCGTCTGAACTGAGGAAAGTACCGGACGGAGCTCCTATCATGTGCCACATGCAAGACCGAACACAGTTGGATGCAGCTCACGCGTCAGCTCGCCAAGACAGGTACCCTACGTTTCCAGTATTGCCATCGCCGACCCAAGTTCTGACATGGAAGCCGGCCAGGTCCTGGCGGACATCGGATTTGGAAAGTTCATGACCGTCCAGTATGGGGCTTTTGGGTCGAGCATTGTGCACGGTGGAGGGCGAACTTTCGATGCGAGCCTGATTGGGTATGCGCCGTACGAGTATTGTTCGACTTGTTGGCTGTTGGGGTCAAAGAACATCAACAGGCCGGTTGTAGAAGACAGGAGACCGACAAATGTGAGTACAGCCGATCAAGCATCAGGAATCTCGGTATCAGCATCAGCTTAGTAGCAGGGGAACCGACTCGGTGAAAGGGGGGAAGGGACAAAGATGGTCAGTAACTTATGGGCAACTCGTATCTGCTGGTTCGAAGCTCTCGGTCGGCGGAGTGGCCACCCTGCAACAGGTTCACACAGCTCGTTCACTGCGGTGTCGGCGAAGTCGTGGCTTGAGTGTCGATTTGTTGAGCATTCGAGCAAACGCTGCGGAATGTGGAAGCCGGGGGACGACCGCGTCCAGGACACATTGGTGGATTGCAGCCGGCAAAAGTAGGCGAGGGCACTCCAGTCACCAAGATAGTGAGTATTGCTGTCAGGATAGTGACCCTTTCCCTCTTAGTAGGAGGTTGTCACGCTCTGCGCGCTACCAGCTGAGAGTCGAATGCCAGCTCTGAAGCGCGGACTCCGCCGCTGCTTTAACCGGAGAAGGCTAAACTCGCTAAACCAATGAGCGGCGTTATAGTCAGGCTCCTCATCTTGGCAAACTACGGTGAAGCCTAAACCCAGATAGTGACAAGGCTGAGGAGAAATATTGACCACCTCTCCGCAGCGCATGTGCGTTGACTGTCCGCTTTGGCAATGAGCGCAGCTTCGTGAACCAGAACAGCAAGCTGCGGTGGTGCGGCGCTTCCTGTTTTCAACATGCGGCTCTTCTCTTCGTTATGTCTCCTTCTTGTGTCGTCGTTGCAACTCGCATGGGCGAAAAGCGCAGTTGGAGACAGACTCCTCGTGGTCCTTGAAGACGAATCGCAGAGAGCACTCTACTCGAAATTCTGGGCTGATCTAGAGGGTATGCGTGCCTCACCGACCGATCGATCAAGAAGGGTGCTGACGTCTGCATTCTCCAGCGCGAGACTTCAAGTTGTCGTTTCAGTCCCCGAGAGACGAGAGCCTGGCGTTATTCAGACATGGCCAGTTAGCATACGACCATCTGCTCCTCACCCCTCCGAGGTCGAAAGGTGAGGTTGGCTCTTGGACCGGAAAAGACAATGTACTGATGGTTGCAGGCTATGGGCCAGCCTTGACGCCGAAGATCCTTCTCGACTACGTGAATGGCGGTGGAAATATCCTGCTTGGATTGTCCTCAGAGTCGGGCACCCCCTCAGCCATCTCGTCGCTCCTTCTCGAGTTCGACATCGCTTTGTCTCCCGACAAGAATTCTGTCGTTGTCGACCACTTCAACTATGACACCGTCTCGGCGGCTGAGAAACATGACGTTCTACTTGTCAATCGACCCGGACAATTGAGGGCGGATGTGGTCAACTTCTTCGGTGGTGATGGCTTGTTGGCGGTACCGAAAGCAGTGGGACAGACATTAGGAAATGCCAGTCCCCTACTTGCGCCGATCCTCAAAGCCCCCGTTACGGCCTACGCATACAATCCGAAAGAGGAAGGAGAAAGCGCAGAAGAGCTCTTCGCGACCGGCTCTCAGCTGGCCCTTATTTCCTCCATGCAAGCACGGAACTCCGCCCGCTTCACGGTGCTGGGATCCCTGGAGATGCTGCAGGATAAGTGGTTCGACGCGTCCGTCAAGTCCCGCGGCGGCGAGAACAGCAAGACCGTGAACCGGGACTTTGCCAGGCAATTGACCGAATGGACCTTCAGAGAGGTCGGCGTCCTGAAGGTCTTCCACATCCAGCACCATGAGGTCGTGAAGGCGTCCAAGCCTAGCGAGAACACAACCGCACTCAGCGGCCAATCTAACCCCGAGATCTACCGGATCAAGAACGACGTGGTATGTTTCCCGCGCTACTGACCTAAAGCTAGCTGGGAGGGCGGTTCCGGCTAATGAAGATAATGCGTTTTTAGGAATTCTCCATTTCGATAGGCCAATACGACAAGACACACTACATCCCCTTCACCATCCCGGCCAATGACGCGCTGCAGCTCGAATTCTCCATGCTCTCACCCTTCCATCGAATCCCGCTCTCGCCGTCGTCCAGCACGCCGAACAGCACCGTCTTCAGCACGACCTTCACCACGCCTGACCAGCACGGCATCTTCGCGTTTAAAGTCAACTACAAACGCCCCTTCCTCACGCCGATCGAGGAGAAACGCCAAGTCACGGTCCGACACTTTGCCCACGACGAGTGGCCGCGCAGTTGGGCCATAAGCGGCGCGTGGCCGTGGATCGGCGGGCTGTGGAGCGTCATCGTCGGGTTTTTGCTCTTCGTCGTCGTCTGGCTGTATTGCGAGCCGCCGAAGGAGGAGGCCGAAAGACGGAGGAAGCTGAGTATCAGTATGGGCTCGAGGTAGCGGGCGGGCAGGCAGCTTTTGCACCCCCTCGCCACACGGTCCGGAAAGACAAAATCAAAAATGGCAGGGAAGGGGAAATGTACTTTACGGTCTCTGATATATCGGGGGCTTTAGAAATGAGGAATCCGGAATCATGGAGCACCAAAAATGTAGCCAATGGAAGCGTTAGACATGATCAGCTTTCGTGGAGAATTGCGATGTCATGATGTCGTCGTACATTTGTCGAGAGATGATTCCTAATCATTGAACATTGTACATTGTAGAGACGAGGCGTGATGGCACGTGCTATATACAGATTCTCTCGATCTCCACATACAAAAACACAGCGGATAGATCGCGGCACCAGCGAGCGGAAGCTCTCCTGACCGCAAACAAGAGGGGAGGGAGCTGGCTGGCTATGGAGATGGATATCTTGGTCTTCCCTTCCAAGCATCCACACTGTCAGGTGGACTATTCCAGGTCGCGGCGTGCCGGCACCCACCCATCCGACCGCGACAACCTTTTTCCCACTTGTACCTCTCAGTAGATGTCGACAGGACAGGGGGTTCGCCGATATCTCTCGTCAAATCATCTGTTGCTGTTGGTATTATCGCGGATGGGAATCTTGGGATGCGATGCCGCACTCGGCTGCGGCTGCAGCAGCGCTCTCGCGATGGTCGTCCAAAAGTTCCAGAAGTGACGGTGATGTCGACGGCAATATAGCGCCATGTCGAGTATCATTCTCCAGAATCCGGCACCGCATCTGGCATCTCCCGAAAGAGACTCTGTGCCGGCGCACTGCCGCTGCGCTGGGTCCCCCTCAATGAGAAAGCTCAAAGTCCCACCCTCATAGTCCCCTCGTCTTGCTCTCGTCAAACCCCAAGCCGTGCACCTCCCCCCTCGCTCCCTTGGCCATACTCTCCCGGACATCGAACGCGGGCCTCCCACCGTACAGTTGTCCGCCCTTGACCTTGTCGTCCCCACCACCGCCACCGCCTCCCTCAAGCTCCAGACTCGTCGAGATGGGCGCATTCCCGCGAAACCGCTTGCGCATGTCCACCAGCCCGCGCCGACACTCGCGGAAGCCGATCTTCAGCTGTTGGCACTGCGTCGGGAGCGTCTCGAGTAAAGGGGAAGAGAGACATTCGAGGGGGGTGTGCCGGTCGAGGAGGATGCAGTCGGAGTTTTGGAGGCATTGGGCGAGCGCGGCGCCTGGGGGGTTTCAGTACGGCAATGCAATGTTGAGATTCATGTTGGTATCCCATGTTCAAAGTTCAAGTTAAGATATAGAGGTGCACAGGGTGGACCAATGAGGAGAGAATGCTGGGGACGTACGGATGTCTTTGCAGGAGGAGGGCATCTCGAGGTGTGGCCGTGGCAGGATCCGCAGGCCAGCAGATAGATGAAGGGCAGGAAGTTTCACTCGGGGTGGACAGGACGGTGTAGGTGCCTGCGACCTGCGGGAGGGGCGGACACAACAAGCAAGTGACGAGTGTTGAATCTGAGTATGATACCTTCAGTAGAGTGAGTGTACGTGAGGGCTACGAGTTACTCGTACAAGTGCTTGAGCCTCATCGATGCAATTAATTGCCCGCGGATTCTCCGTCCGCCGTTCTCCAATTGTCGCCGGCACGGGCTCGGCACACTTGCCTCTCGGCTGGACCTGCTTCCTGGTCAGTCACGTGCGGTGCCACAGTGAATTAGCGCGCGTGAACTCGGAAATTGTTGCCGAAAAACTTGGGGCTGGATCTCCGCGGCTCTCCGCGGCTACAGTCCCTCGAGGGAGGAGCACTCGTATGGACGATGTTACGTACATACTTAGTGGGTATGTACTTGCTACACATCGATGTATCTGCTCGTACGGGAGGAACCGCCTCTTTCAATCAGCTTGGCTCCAGCGGAACCAACATCAATGCTGAGCTGCGGCCTCCTGAGGCCGGTCCTAGCAGACCACCAGACTGCCACCAGCATCGCCAACGACATTTAGTAGTTGACGATCAGAAGGCCAAACGTCAGGCACCGCGACAACTTGACGAGGTTTACTCTTGTGGACGCGATCATTCAAGCTGATGCTGTATATTCCATGGTGTGTAGATTGTTTGGCCTGGCTCGGCTTTGCAGCGAGGACGGATCAGCTTCACTTGCAACCGACAGTCCCAGCCCCAAGAGCTGAGCATTACTCCTTGCCCGTCTGGGACTCGACCTCCTGAATTTTCATCTCCAGCTCTTGGTCTCGGACGGGCTTCTCGATCGTCATGGTCGTGACGGTCCAGACTGTGGGCAGGACAATCACCAAGGCCCCCATGGATAAACCCCAGTTCATACCAAGCTGCGTCATGGGACTCTTGTGCAAGGCGTTAATCCTCCACGCCATGGCACCGCCAGTGGCCTGGAAGGTCTTGTATGCTCCGACCAGAATGGCCGCTCGGGAGGTCGAGTTTGACTCCGTCCCAATGAGCCAATAACAGAACCCTTGCCAGAGCGCGTCGTACGCCCCGTAAAAGATATACAAGAAGATAGGCCCGGTCGACAGCGAGCCCTGAGTGTAGTCAATGTCTTGCTTGAGCCCGGCGGCGAGACGCCTGTCCTGCCATTTCTGGAAAGCATATCCTCCTCCCCAGATGGACATGCCCGTGACGAACAGAACGACCCAGCCGACGCGAGCTCGCATAGGCCGGGTAAGGAAAGGGAGGTCAAGAATGACGCCGATGAGCAGGCCACCCAGCATCTGGGCGATCCAGTAGAGAGACCCGTTCAGGGAGCGAGTCCGGATGTTGAAAGTCATGCCGTTGACTTGGTTCTGCTGGTACGAGTAGAACACGTTGGCGCAGAAGAACAATGGCAGCATGCAGAACACACGCCAACTAGCCATCGTTTTCACTGCAATGTCGATCGTGGCCTTCCACGAGTGTTTCTCACTTTCCACCGCCGCATGGAGCTGCGCGAGGTGGATGCGCTTGGGGGAGCAGATGAAAAGCCCCAAACCCCAGCCGACGAGCATAATGACCATCAATGCAATGTATGTCGAGTCGGACACGGTACCTGACTTGGAGTGGAAGTTGAGGCCGAACGATGCGAGACTGCCGACGCCGCCTCCGAGATTGAATATGATCCAGAACACCGCGATCGCGCGACCTTTCTGAGACTCGGCGACATAAGTGGTCATGATGGCACCCTGTACTACCCACAGCATGGAAGCGCCGACTCCCAGAATGGCACCGGACGCAATGACAAAAGCACCATTGTCGTGGTCTGAATCTAGTCAGGGTATTATGCAACTACAGAGGAATGTTTCTTACGGTTGAAATTCAGCAAGCTCCCACTGTACAATGCGTATGTCCAGCCACCAAGCAAGAAGCATATGCGAGGCCCTGTGTAGGAAAACAGGGGCCCCACAACGAACAGCGCAGTCCCAGCAGTTGCCGAGAGGAGCGCGACGGTGGCGTTGGCGGCAACAGTAGGGTCGACTTGGCCAGAGCCTCCCAGTCCCCCAAGAGCGTTATACATCTGCACATTGGTCAATGCCTGGGATAATCTTGCTGCCATCCAGATTGATACTCACTCCAGGACAACAGAAGCATATCAGACTGATCAAGATGATTTGCGTCCATGGGTGCGCGTACAACGACTTGACGCGAGAAAGCTGAGAGCGTTCCCCCTGCTCGATATCACCTTGTCGAGTGTCGATCGGCATCACGGCTTGTGTCTCATCTGCCATGGCCATGTTGAGAAGATGTCTTGAACCGGAGCTTCTCTCAAATTGCCAGCGACGCCGATGAATGGCGTAGCTAACATATAAGGAGGTGGTGCCAGTAACATATTCGCGCACATTGTTGTTCCCATCTAAAGGCACCGTTACATCGAGCGCCTGCACCTCCGCTCCTCCCCTTGATAGCCGTGATAGCCCATGATAAGCCCCGGGGTCACGAGCTTGCGAAATGTGGAGGCATTTTCTTCAATGGGACAGGATCGACGTTGGCACCGAAAGCTTGAACACAGACAAGTGACGATTAAGCGATGTCGGTAATCTCCAGCTGCCCGCGGGAGAGGTACCCGGGCGTGCAGGGCCGAATTCACAGGGTAGCAGTCGTGCTTCTCCGCGCAGTCTGCGGCTCTTAACTTCAGTAGTCGTGTTGGAAGGAATGTTGCAACCAGTGTGGCAGAAGATCCGCTGTGGCAAGCGGGTGTTGCACTGTACATACGCGAAGGTAGAAGGCATTCCCTGGCATGACCAGAAAGACAGTATGAGTTCGACGAGGCTTTCAAGTGTCTTGAAAGTAGGACGGGCGGAATGGCAGCACTGAACATCTTGGCCGGCTTGCAAACCGAACAAAGAAACTCGGCTTCGTCCAACATCGACCAAGTCTCGACGCTTGAACTTTGCCACATCATCAATGACCAGGACGCAACAATTGCGGACTCGGTAGCAGAATGCATCCCAACTATAGCAGCCGCGATTGACTGCTTAGCTGGCAGGGTCCGTGCCGGAGGTAGGGTGATCTATGTCGGTGCTGGGACCAGCGGGAGGTAATGCATCAATGTCGCTTCCGCGTGACAGTGCTTTTGAGGCTAATCGCTCGTCCCTCGCAGACTGGGGATCTTGGATGCGTCAGAAATCCCTCCGACCTTCTCCTCACCAGAAGGTCAGTTTGTGGGCATCATTGCAGGCGGCGAGGCTGCCATTCGACATGCACAAGAGGGGGCCGAGGACGATGTCGATGCTGCGGTCCAAGATCTTGAAGCTCTCCATCTGAACGGTCAGGTCGACTCGTTAGTTGGCATTGCTGCTTCTGGACGCACCCCGTACGTGCTGAGCTGCCTCTCGTATGCCAAGAGGCTGGGTTCCGCCACCATCGGTGTAGCTTGCACGGAGCCATCCGCTATGAGTAGGAGCAACACTGTCGACTATATGATCAGTCCCGTCGTTGGACCGGAGGTCGTGACGGGAAGCACGAGGATGAAGGCGGGTACTGCAACCAAGCTGGTCCTCAATATGCTCAGCACCGGGACTATGATCAAGTTGGGAAAGACATTCGGGAACATGGTCAGTGCTATTGAATCAGATCCTGACAGAGACGAGCTGATTGCAATAGATGGTCGACCTGAAAGCCACGAATCTCAAACTCCAACAGCGGTCTCGGAATATATTACGAACAGTCTGTGGGCTGAGATGTCCCACCTCGGACGACGACCTCGACATTCTTCTGCACAAATGTCACGGTAGCGTTAAGCTCGCTATTGCATCGTTGAGCTTGGGGGTATCTGTGTCAGAAGCGGAGCGTCGTCTTGACGAAGCTGGCGGTGTCCTCGCGGACCTTTTGAAACAGGTCGTCGATCTATCGCTTCCTGACGACAGTACGAACCAGAGATATCTTCTCTGCATCGATGGAGGCGGGAGCAAGTGTGCGGCAGCAGTCATATCTGTGGATGGCGAATATGGGCACGGCGAATCCTCCGGCTGCAATGTGACAGATGTTGGCGTCGAGGCCTCACTTGCGTCCATTTCGTCCGCGATACAAGGGGCCTGCGACACAATGGCCACCCTCAAAGGCAAGAGTTGGAGACCCAGCCTTTTCTCTTCTGTTTGGGTTGCGCTAGCCGGGCACGACCGGAAGCAAATCGCCACGATCGTCGACAAAGCCTTGGAGGACTTGTTCGCGCGACCCCAGGGGCCAGGCTTGACAATCACAAACGATATCGAGCTCCTTGCAATTCCGGCTGCAGAGAAACACAATGTCGATTCATCGGTCGTGCTCGTAGCTGGAACTGGATCGGTGGCAATGAGCTTCCAGCGTCAAAAAGGTCGATTCGTTCGCACCGGAAGGTCAGGAGGTTGGGGTCATCTGCTTGGTGACGACGGCTCAGGCTTTGATATCGGGCGACGGGCTATACGCGTCGCATTGGCTGCATTGGAGGGTCTCGACACAGCGGGCAATCAAGAGCAGGGGCTCGTACACCAGACTGCTTCTCACGTCGAAAGCCTCATACTTGATCACTTTCGGCCCCCGGGCACTCCTACGCGCGACTTCGACCTGCTGAGCACAGTACTGACGTGGCCGTCGGAACTGGAGAAGAAGAGACGCATCGCACAAGTCGCTCGCCTTGTCATCGAGGCTAGCAAATGTGACCATGAAGCCAAAATTATTGTCGACGGTGCGGTAGAAGCTCTGGTGCGGCTGCTCACCACCCTCACCAGCTCCGAACGGATCGATAGTCAAGGTTCAGTATTGGTCCTGGGAGGCGGATTGATGCAGAGTCCGGCTTTCTCTAATGCGGTCCTCAAGTCACTCGGCGAGAAAGGGACAGCCTTCAAACACGTCGAAGTTGTTGACCATCCCGCCAGCTCCGCCGTCAAGTACTTGTTGCACAAGCGACGGGATCGAGCCTGGATCGGGATGTCCCCTCCGTGTCCGTGATTATTGGGCCATCACCAGGACCTGGTGCCGAGTGGAGATCAGGTTCCAGATCTGTTGCAGCTGCAGTCGAGCCACGCCTATCAGCCCTGAAGGCGGGTTACGGGATAAGCTAGCGGTTCTGTCCAACCATGTTTCCAGCTCTTCACGTTCGCTCTCCAAGCTAGTAGGGATTTAGTTCCTTGAACTGTGGCCTATCGAGAGTCAATACAACGTTGGACGAGTTCCTAATCTGCCGTCTTGAGAGACCTGGAAACTCACACTACAATTACTTGCTGATAGTCGAGCAGCCGGGTCCTATGACATGTCGATATCGGCTTTAGGAGCTGTGTGACGCGGTGCAGCAGGGCGCTGAAGCGGAGGAGATGTACGGCACGAGGACCGGGAACTGTGGAATCTCCGAGCCTCAAGAGGAGGCCCATGGAATCCATACGCAGACACTCGTAGGAGGCAAGGATGCAGCACAGAAGTGAAGACAGAAGGCTGGTGGAGGGAGCAGGAATTGAAGCCGGTCTAAAGCGGGTGATGAGGCAGATGTGAAGTTTTGGCTGATCAGATTCTAGACAGTTAACTGTCGTGCCTGCCTTGTCTTCAGTATTGAACGGCTCGCTCTTTCCTCGTTGTCGCGGTCACTCTCTCGTCTCTTCAGCCTCCCGTGGCCCCCCACGGCAATTCGAACAGGCTGGCGGCGATGAGGCTTGATGGGTCAAATCTGGTGGGAGTTGATACAATTCGCCTTGGGGTAGAGAGGCTCTCAATGCTATTCATGCGCAGTTATGAATCCCGATCTGTCAGACTCCCTGCTGTGGCTAGCCAAGTAAGCGCAATCCGAACACTCCATGCTCGCAAATGAACAATTTCCCTCCGAGACAATGTCCAGAGAGCGAGCACATTACAACTCCCTGCTCTCAGCTATCACAAATAATGATATTGTACACTGTGGAACCCGCAACATTCTCCCCACTGCTTTGCTGCATGACCCTTGCGTTTCGCCACTCCAAGCATGCCGGCGGATCTTCGAGCATCTCGGACACCCTCGTCGACACATGCTGATCATACGCTCCAAGTGGCGTCAGATCTCGGACGCGTCCGAGTTCTCCTTTCTCACAAGATAAGACGCATCCATATGATGGAGAGGCAAGGTACACGTCCAACGCCCATTCTATGCCAACTTCGTGCCTCGTCGACCACCCGATTGCGTTGCGGTTTGCGTTCAGGGGAAGTTTGCAGCCGCATGCACAGGGTAGTGGAGGCGAACCTCTCTTTGACTCCCTAAGAATCTGGACCTCCTCCACTGGGGCTAGATTCGGCTTCCTTCGTTGTGGTCTCTGGCTCATTGTCCTTCTCCTCCCTCGCAGCAGAGAAATCTCTTCGATATTTCGAAAGGGCTTCGGCCACCTTCTCAAAGTCCTTGACCTCATGGGCTCTCAGATCGGCGATAACCTGCTTCAGCCCTGTATGGAATTCATCCTTGGTGGCTTTATCCTTGATATCGCTCGCTGACGACATTTGCACAAGGATCTTCTCATCTGGCAGCCCGAGCTGGCTGAAATGCTGCTCTTCGCAGTTCTGATCATTGCAGGTTTGGCCAGAAAGCTCGGTTGGGCAGAGAGGGCGGGAGTGATCGATATTGTTGCTGTATGTCAACGAGCGGTAGCCCGATTTGACGGTTTCGTTGAAGTCAGAGTGAAACCGGTAGCTCTTGAAGGAGCTGAAGGGAGTTTTGTAGGGTACGTAGTGGACGGTTGGGGTGGTAGTGCCGCTAAGGAGAGCAACCGCCTCAGCTGCTTCGCTCGGTCTTGGTGCCGGTTTGACTATGGCATCGACTTCGGTAAGTTGAGCATCTGATTCGAGATCGTCCCGGGTGTTGATTGGCACTTCTGAAACAACGGAGACATCATCAATCGGGGCCCGCCCCTCCGTGGGAGACCCAACAGCGTTCAATGCCGTTGCTGAGCTGTCGTTGACAGGAGCCTCAGACACGGCTGGAGTGGGAGCCGCTGCTGCTACGTCCACAACTGCTGTTGGGTTGTGAAAACCATCGGTCTCCTCTGGGACCCCAGTCGTTGGTGTGCCACTTTCGATGGGGGCTGTCTCAGGGTCATACTCGCCTTCGTCGTCCGATTGTTGCATTGGCACAGAAGTGTCGACATCGGCAGGCTCGTACTCATCTTCGTGCATGGAGGCAGAAGAGCCAACCCCAGCTGGCTCATATTCCTCTTCCTCTTCGTCATCCGAACCAGACATGCTCGCACTTCCGTTACTATCGTTGTCCATGTCCATTGTCTCCTCAGTCAACTCTTGTCCCATGGACGTTTTTGGCAGCGTCTCGTGAGATTCCTCGTAATATTCAGGTTCGGGTGAGATCTCCATTTCGCCTGCTCCCAGTTGATCGTCAAGAGCAGCCTGAAGTTGCGCATCGGTGGAATCGGGTTCTTCAGGCGGAGTGATCTCGAAACGGTCGGGAGCAGGAGGCTCTGGAACATCATCTGTCCGCATTCCCTGTCCGTGCTCAATCGTAGGTCCGAGTGCCGAGGATGTGATCAGGTCTGGCGTTAGGTTGTCGCCATTGTCTTCCATTCGCATTTGAGCATCGTCCTCAGCAAGCGTTGCAGCGGCAGAGTCCAGCTGCACAGCGAGCAGATCCTGGTCGTCTTGGTGAGTTGACCCTTGGCTGGCGACATCTCCATTGCTCAAGCCTGGCAGTGGCTGTGAATCTGTCCTAGTTGCTGGCTGCGCCGCTGGGTTCATGACCGGTTCTTGCTGAGCAGGTAATGCTTGTTCTTCCGCAAGTTTCTCGAGCTTGATCTGTTGCAACTCATCTGAGTATTGCTTCTGACCTTCTTGGCCTTCTTTGAGCTGCTGTTCGAAACGGCCAACCTCCTCATTAAGCTCCTTCTCTTGCACAACCAATCGGTCCAACTCTGCCTGGAGGTTTTGGATTTGTCCACGAATCCGGCTTAGCTCTTTGCGTGAGTTTTCCAGCCGACTCTCAGTCTTCTTTACTTCGGCATTAAGATCTGGTAGGCCCTCTTGCAACACTTGTTGACGTTGTGAGCGCTGCCTTAGAACTTCTGCCTTCAAAGCGGCAGCTCGTTCTTGAAGTTGCTCCCGAGTCAGTTTGGACGCCGTCCTATTCCCGAAAGTCTGTCGCTGGGATCCACTCAACTCAAGCGGTTGAGCGATTGGCGAGCTGCTCGGCTGATGTTCTTCGCCGCCAACTGGAGGCGTCGCAGGCTTCGAAGATGACGGGGATTCCAACTGGCTCCTGGTTCGCTTCAACTTGTTGCGCTCCATCTCAGCAATCTTCCGCCGCATAGCTTCTATCTCAGACTGCTTGGCCCGGTACAGTTGATCACTTCCAGGTCCATTGTTGGAAGCAGGTTGCAGCGACGCCGCGGCAACTTGGTCAACGCCTGCGGACCTGCTTGAGGGGGGAGAGGTGGCGAGGGACGACTCTTGAGGCTGATCTTCTCGCCGAGCAGTTTGATCTGGCTCGTGATCTAGGGCCATCATATCATTTTCGGTATCTTCAACAACTTCGCCTTCCGAGTCATAGTCGAGGTCGTTGTCTGCGGGCGGAATAGATGATGTATGTGGCAGATCCTGTTGCATGTTCGGCTTCTTGTTTGGGGGTTGGAAAGCTGATGAAGCGGTATTTGGGTCTGAGGAGCGCTTCGCTGGAATTAGGGAGGACGAAGATTGAAACGGTAAAGGTTGACTAGTCGATTCAGCGATCCCAGGCGCCTCGCTGGAGCTCATAAACAATCCTGGTATCAGAGAGGTTACTGAGGGTTGATTGGAGGATGACACTTTGCTCGCGACCAGAGGCGTGAAGGCTCCGAGCTGAAGGGTCGACTCGGTCACGTCGACCGAACCGTCGCGGTCAGGAGTGCTCTCTTGTGCCGAAGAAGGTTGTGCTAGATTAGCTTCGTTCCGGGCCTGTGCCTCCCGCTTCAGCTGTTCCATCTTCTGCTTCACCAGCCCAATGGGTGCCTTTGGTTTGATTACACCAGTAACGGCCAGAGTGGCAGGGGTCTCTGGCTGGGTGGCGGGCGCAACTTGTGAGGTAGCAAGGGTTGCGGCAACTTCCGACGCATTTGTAGAAACCGTGACAGGAAGTGGCAGCGAAGACTCTTCTCGTGTAACGATTGGTTGAGCGACCTGAGGGGAAGTAGATCGACCCGCCTTCGCAGCAAGGAGCTGTGCGATCCTATCTTTTCGCTCCAGGCTAGGATTTGGTGCTGTCTGTTGCCTCTTCGCATCCATGCCTGCCGGCGGTGGTGGGGGCTCAGAGGCCACTGCCGATGCAGCGAGAGCAGTAGAAGCTGGTGGGATGCCAGTCTGAGCACCAGTTTGTGTGACGGCGTACTCATGCATATCGACCTTCGCTTGCTGCGCTGGCGGAGATCCGTCTGCGTCAGCCATGGAGACATCTTCTTTGGACTGCTCCGGTTCAATCTTAAGGCCAAGCTCTCCATACAACTCCCGCAAGATCTGCGGATTGACGCCTTCCTTGACGAGGTCTGCGTAAAGGATCTTGTGAGGTACGAGAGATAATACTGCGCCCTTAGCGAGTTGTCTCAACTCAGTGTGTGACTTGTTGTCGTAGACTCTCTCCACCTTCTTTGGGCCGTGACCTTTGGAGGCATTGCTGGTGGGTCCGAAGCTCCCGGACGATCTGTCTTGGATGGTCGCTGGTCGAGTGGGATCATAGGCTAAACAGAATTCAGTTCAGCTTGAAGTCAGAAACTGAGAGATACTTACGAGAAGCACCACCATCCATCGCTGGATCATGCTCGCCAAGGTCGTCTCTATCTATCTTTTGAGAGACAGCCGTTTCGTGAGCGGGCGTCGCTTGGCCCATCAGATTCTGGGCAGTCGCGAAAAGCATGTCAAGGTCAGATCTCGAGCCAAACGAGGGAAGCGACTGATCTGCAGGCTGATTAGATGAGGAACATCGCAGGGTTAGTGCGCCCACCTTTTTCGTTGACTAGGCTTATCACACCCCTGGAGATGGGGCGTGGATTGCTTGAACTTGCGCTCTGTGCTGCCACAGGTGCGCTGTATGTGTGGCTGTCTCTTGGCCATTCCGTCCCAGCATGAGCGCCTTGTTGTGATCCTATGTATGGGTCGCCGTGCTGCTGCCTCGTCTGTTCGTTTTGTACAAAACCTGAACCAAAACCTTGCACTCCAGCTGTAGAAAACTGCGAATATGGTGACGAGGTGGACGTGTTCACCGCTGCACTCAGCTGGGGATATCCGGGACTGGGAAGTGGGACTGGAGGGAGATTGGGAGGAGGTGGAGGCAGAAAGCTCCCGCTTGCAAACTGTTTGAAGAAGTCGGAATTGAAGTTGATGGGAGGAGGTGGGAAAGGAGGAAAGGACGGCGTAGGAAGAGGCAGCTGCGAGTTCTGCTCAAATCTCGGACCAGTGGTCGAGGGCGACGGTTGCTGCTGCTGCTGCTGTTGCTGGTAGGTAGGAAACGTCGATGGTTGACCCTGCCCCTGCGCAGGCTGCTGAAGGAGGCCCGGAGGGGTCTGGATCTGTTGCTGTAGGCCATTAGATGGATAGGAGGGATAGTAGGACTGCTGCTGAGGCGCGTATGACGGTGTGCCCGCGTACATCGGGGTGGAAGAGTAAGGATGCGCCATTTCAGCGGAACACGAGTCGGTAGAAAACAGTCAAGAGAGACGACGCCGTGACGATGTCATCGACGCCAAATGGGGATCCCACAGAAGCACGCTCTCACTGAATCCAAAAAACCGCTCATCATCATCACTGAGACAGTGCGCGAATTCACCACGGACAACACGCAGCTGTGAGTGTCCACGATGCCCGACAACTTCGCGTTCTGGCTCAGAAGTCGTCCTGCACTCGGTCTGACGGTAAAGTTCCCTCCAGAAGGATGGACGATTACCTTCCAGTCCGTAATGGTCGATACGTTGTTCTACTTCCGATACATGAGAGTTGGTCGCAGGGTCAGTGGTGTCGTTCTGCACTACAGACAGACCTTGACTTCCACTTGGCACCTGGTGTACGGTGGACTACTGACCTATACCATGGAACTGCTTGTCGACATTGTGACGCCCACCGTAGCAGCCATCGTGCCTACGGACGAGCACTTCTACGTCTTTGCGCCTCGTGTATACAAGTCCGCCGTAGGTGGCGCGTTGGTTGCTCCGCACAGGTGCGCTATCCCCAATCGAGGGCCCAAACAACAACACCCACCACTCGCCACTGGCTTGACGAAGCTGTCAAACCCACTGAACAAACATGTCCTAATGCATTGACAGCAATAGCGCTCGATTGATTGTGGGAGATAGCGCATCCTCCTCCCCCGGCGGCAACATGCTGCTTCACGACCGCAGTCCCGACACATCTCCCTTCAGCGGCCACAGTCAGCGGCCTTTCACCAGATCAGTTCATTCAGACTTGTCGATACAGACGCCAATGTCTTCCTCCAGCTACAACAAATCACTACTCTTCGCATCCCCGACACCGACTCCTACGACAGCCTCCAGACATGAACGACAACACTCGTACTCGCCCACGGCGTCTTTCAGCTCCGTCCCCTCCCATATGCGGAACAACTCGCTTCAGCGACAGGCGAGTTCCTCCAGTACATTTGCACCCAAGTTTATCAAGTCAGAAGAGATGCGCAAGAGCGAGGACAGGATATCGGCCATCGAAGGGGAGAATGACTTTTCCGGAAAACGTTATGTCTGGGTTAGAGATCCAGAAAAGGCATTCATTCGCGGATGGATAACAGAAGACCTACCGGGAAACAAAGTCGCCGTACAATTCGACAATGGCTCATCCATTGAGGCCGATGTCGACGAGGTGGATAAGGTCAACCCGGCGAAGTTTGACAAAGCCGACGACATGGCGGAACTTACTCATCTCAACGAAGGCTCAGTCATCCACAATCTCTACACCCGATATCAGGCTGACCTGATCTACACATACTCCGGTTTGTTCTTGGTCGCCATCAATCCGTACTGCCCCCTGCCCATCTACGGCAACGACTATATTCGCATGTACAAAGGACAAACGAGGGAAGACACTCGACCTCATATCTTTGCCGTTTCCGATGCTGCCTTTCGCCGCTTGGTCGAGGAAGGAGAGAACCAAAGTATCTTGGTGACGGGCGAGTCAGGCGCGGGCAAGACCGAGAATACGAAAAAGGTCATTCAGTACCTGGCTGCGGTTGCGACGTCAGATCTGGACACGCCCGTGACAGGCAGAACACCTGGGAAACAACTCTCAAATCTCTCCCAACAGATCCTTCGGGCCAATCCCATCCTGGAGTCTTTCGGCAATGCCCAGACAGTCAGAAACAACAACTCATCTAGATTCGGAAAGTTCATTCGTATTCAGTTTACTCGGTCTGGCCAAATTGCGGGCGCCTTCATCGACTGGTATCTACTCGAAAAGTCAAGAGTGGTCAAAGTCAGCCAGCAAGAACGAAGTTACCATGTCTTCTACCAGCTGCTGGCCGGAGCGGACCAACGAATGAGGGACTCGCTGCTCATAGCCGGCATGGATGTCGAGGACTTTGCTTATACTCGAGCTGGTAACGACACGATTGGCGGGGTTTCTGACCGAGATGAGTGGAATACGCTGATTGAGGCATTCCACATCATGAACTTCTCCGAGAAGGAGCAGATGGCCATTTTCCGAACTGTCGCTGCGATATTACACCTAGGCAATGTTGGCGTCCGCCAAGAGAGCAGAGCTACAGACCAAGCTTCTCTGACTACCGAAGCACGAGCATCTGTAGACAAGGCGTGTCGGTTGTTGGGTGTGCAATCTGAGCCATTCGTCAAAGGTCTCCTGCATCCGCGAGTGAAAGCCGGCCGAGAATGGGTTGAGAAAGTCCAAACACCCGAGCAGGTGCGTCTTGCGCTTGATGCGCTGTCCAAAGGCATTTATGAGCGAGGATTCGGCGACCTGGTGTCCAAAATCAATAACCAGCTTGACCGAGGTGGTGTGAGCAGCGATGATAGCCACTTTATCGGAGTGCTCGATCTTGCCGGATTCGAGATATTTGAGACCAACAGCTTCGAACAGCTCTGCATCAACTACACAAACGAGAAGCTGCAGCAGTTCTTCAACCACTACATGTTCGTCCTGGAACAAGAAGAATACGCGCGCGAGCAGATTGAATGGCAGTTCATTGACTTTGGCAAAGACCTCCAGCCTACGATTGATCTCATCGAGCTACCGAACCCTATTGGCATTTTCTCCTGCCTCGATGAAGACTCGGTGATGCCGAAAGCGACGGATAAGTCCTTTACCGAAAAGCTCAACTCTTTGTGGGAAAATAAGACTGCGAAATATGCGCCTGCGCGTACTCGGCAAGGCTTCATTCTGACACACTATGCGGCCGAAGTTGAATACTCCACGGAAGGCTGGCTGGAAAAGAACAAAGATCCTCTCAACGACAATCTGACCCGCCTCCTTGCCGCGTCGAAAGATGATCACATTGCCAACCTCTTCAGCGACTGTGTGGACGAGGTTGATGAGCCTTACAGCCCAAGAAGTCGAGTCAAAAAGGGCTTGTTTCGAACCGTTGCCCAGAGGCACAAGGAGCAACTGAGCATTCTGATGCGACAGCTACATTCAACACAGCCTCACTTCGTCCGGTGTATCCTGCCCAATCACAAGAAGAAACCGAAGCAATTTGTGGCACCCTTGGTCCTAGATCAATTGCGGTGTAACGGTGTGCTTGAGGGCATCCGCATCGCGCGTACGGGCTTCCCGAACAGATTGACGTTTGCGGAATTCCGGTCGCGATACGAGGTTCTTTGCAAAGACATGCCGAAAGGATATTTGGGAGGCCAAGAGGCAGCGAAGATCATGCTCAATCGACTGCAGATGGAGCAATCAAACTATCGGGTCGGTCTGACGAAGGTGTTCTTCCGGGCGGGAGTCTTGGCCGACTTGGAAGAACAACGAGACGCCTTGATCCGGGAGATCATGTCTAGGTTCCAGTCGATTGCTCGAGGCTTCATGCAACGACGCATGGCCTTCAAGCAGCTTTACCGTGCGGAAGCCACGAGAGTCATTCAACGAAACCTCAACGTCTACCTCGATCTCCAAGACAACCCGTGGTGGCGGCTGTTTGTCCGCATGAAGCCTCTCCTGGGGGCGACTCGTACTGCAAGTGAAGTCAAAAAGCGAGACGAAAAGATTGAGCAGCTGCAGGTCAAGTTGAAACAAGATGCGGCCGAGCGACAGCGAGTTGAAGACGAACGGAGGCGTGCCGAGATTGAAGCGCACCGCATCCAGCAAACACTCGATTCGGAGCGGGCATTAGCATTGGATAAAGAAGAGATCTTCAAGAGGCTCCAATATCGGGAGAGTGAGCTCTCTGAGAAGCTAGCCGAGGCCCTGACCGAACAAGAAGCGCTCGAAGACCAACTCGACGAAGCCATCGACTCCAAAAGGAAAACCGAAGAGGAGTTGACCACTCGTCGAGAGCAAGTGCTCCAGGCCGGCCAGATCATAACGAGACTGGAGGCCGAGAAGAAGGATCTCCAACGTCAGATCGATAAGCTCGAAGATGAGCTCGAGCATGTGGAAAAGACGCACACGCAGAACGACGATCGATTGCAAACCATCAGTCAGGAGCTTCGGTCATTGAAGAGCAACTTGAGCGTGAAGGACCGGAAGATATCTGAACTAGAGACCAGCTTGCAGCAGGCCGAGAAAGACAAGGAAAGCCGTGCGTCGAGTCTCGAGCAAGAGCTCCGTTCTCTGAAGAGTCAGCTGGCACAGCGCGACCGTGCCTCAGAAGGTCTCGAGCAGGAACTCCGCTCTGTGAGAAGTCAGCTCGCACAGCGAGATCGTGCCACCGAGGACCTGGAGAAGAAGCTCCATCGCGCCGAGACTCTCCGCACGGAGGAGAGCAGACGACAAGCCGAAGACTTTGACGTCCAAATCCGCGCCTTGAAGAACGAACTTAACCAGAAGGACCGCAAGTTGCAAGATCTGGAAAGCACACTCTCCAAAATCGACCAAGACGCCGAGGCCAAGCTCGCACGTACGGCCGATGAGCTTGACCAGTCAAAGAAACTGCTCCGAGAATTACAGGGTCAAAATGACGAGCTTAGGAAGCAAGTCACGGCGACGGCGCTTGCTACGTCCAAACACCAAGAGAATCTCCGGCGAAAGGAAGGCGAGCTTTCGGCTCTGATGGCAGACGTCGAGCAACACGAGCGGGAGAAGCTCGAGCTGAGGAGAGAGAATGAGAGGCTGGCTGACGGGTTTGAAGACCTCACCACCAAGAAGAGAGAGGCGCTCGCTGAGATGGAGAGGTTACGAGAGCAGCGAACCAGGATGGAACGGGAAGCTGTGGAGGTCAGGAGGTGTCTAGAGAAGGTGATGCCGTTCTTTACCCAGCATTTTGCGTGATGCAGTGGTTCGGGTGTAATGTGTAGCAAACGTCGACATGGGAAGATGATGTTGGCTTGTGCCAGGGCGGCGTTGTGGCTTCTTCTGCGAGATGATTGTGTATGGTGCTGGGCGTCGTGGATCGCGTGTGACGAAGACTCCAGGGGCGATGCGTGTTTCTTGCATGGCACTGTACTGTACATACTGTGTAGCTGTCCGGACCGGCGGTAACAAGCCATTGTGTACACTGAAGAGCCGGTGGAAGTAGTTTCCCAGCCCCGCCACTCAACCTCGTCGTCGGTGTCGCCAGCCTCGTGATCGTGTCCACAATCGGCCGCGGCGCGAGCTTGATCCTTGTCGTCTTGCTCAAGCCGAGTCTCCACTGTACCGTCGACTGTGTACATACACGACATAGTACGGAGTACTCCGTATAGATAGAGCGTATCGAAGCCTGACTTCCTTCTGTGGACCGAGCATATCTCAGCGCCCTGACTGCCCACGCCGCGAGACGGTCCGATCATTCGCAGCTCGTCGCCCCGGATCTCGACTCCGTCAATCTGCCTAAACGGCCTGCCGTATGGACCAACACGTAATTGGCTCGAGCCTCGACGATGACACTGCCGATGCCACCGCCTCGAACCTTAACCACTTCTCGTACGGGGGTCGTGGTTGTCCGCGCTCCAATTGGTACGAGGGGGGCTGGCTAAAGCATTTTCCTTGGTGCTTGTTTTCCTTTCTCGAATCGTCCGTCTCTACAGATGGGATTTCGCAGGAGAACGACCGCTGTGCCGTCCGACCATGGCATCAACTCTGCGACCTCGGCATCAGAGTCTGTGTCCGATATGAGATAATGAGAAGGCAAGGCCAGGAGGACGGGCAATACGCTCGTTAATCTCAATCAGGTATCACACGAGGCGGGAAACCAGGACAAAACATGGCCGCCACCAAAGCTCGACTGGACTGCGTCTAAACACCGACGTTCATAGAGCTCAACAGCCCATTGCGACGCCACGGAGACGGACATGGACAGCTTGAGACAACACGTCGCGAGCGTGGTCGGCCGGTTCTCGCCTGCGCACCTACAACATCGGTACCAGCTCTTACGCCAGCACGAAGTCCTCGCAAACAATTCCCCGGTATCGCATCAGGTGTCCCGACTCCGTTTCCGCCATCTCTCTCGATGGAACGTCAAGCATCGTGCCATCGCCGGGCTCGCGACGCTGATCGGCGTGGTCCTCGTCGTTGTGTGCCCCATAATCTTATCCTCGGGAAAGCGAGCACCGGCTGCCTCGCCACGGCCACAGTTCGCGTGGCAGCACTTTCCGCTTGAGAAGGGATATTTGCAGGGATTGCGAAAGCTGGTTCCCCCCAGGCATAGAGAACAAGACGATGCACAGCGTGTCTCCTCTCCAGGCAAAGGTCGCACGGGAACGCAGTACCCCGATCCAGTCGTATACGATCCCTACTCGTCGCCGCCGCCTGGTTCGCAGCAGACCATTCCCGCGGCCGAAGGGTGCTTTCTCGACGAAGAGAACACAATAACCCCGCCAGTCATCTGGGCCTACAACGGCGTGCCTGAACGGGCACCGGAACCCATGCTGGGCTCTCACGACGTGCTTGGCCTCAATAAAGATGTCTGCTTTGATAGATACGGCCGGTACGGGGCGTACGGTCTTGGGTATCACGTCAGTGAGGGAGGCACCGGGCTCGGAATCCACGGCGACATGGATGGCACGGACATGACCCTGAAGAACGACTCACGCATTGATTGGCGTGGCGTCGACCTCGGCCGGGCACAGCGCATTTGCGGAGAGAGGAATCGGCGTCGCTTCTCGCTGTCACTCCCGCCGCCGTTCACGGACGACGTCTTCCACTTCCGCCAGACAGGGACATGGCCAGCCCCGGCGCCGGAGTCGGCATCGTCGTCACCACCAGAACCAGTCTCCCACCCAGATCCGGGACCAGGATACGGCGGAGACTCAGGCGACGGTTCTCAAGATCGTAACCACCCGCACATCGCTCGGACGGCCATCGTCCTCCGCCTATGGGACCAATACACCTGGACAAACTACTCTCACTTGTACATCCGGTCCCTTGTCACGGAACTCAACCTCAACGCTGGCGCCGCCTACGACATACACCTTCTTATCCAGATCAAAGACGGGAGCCCTATCTGGGCGTCTCCCGACGTCCACGACGCCGTGCTCGACCGCGTCGTCCCCCGCGAATACCGCTCCATGGCGACCCTGTGGTCCGAGGACCTGCTGTGTCTGCTCTACCCGGGCCCCTTCGAGCCGCAGTTCGACCGCCCGGGACCGATCCACAGCGTCGGCCGAAGCATGCACATGGCACTGCAGTGGTTCGCGGCCCACCACCCGGAGTACGACTTCTTCTGGAACTGGGAGATGGACATCCGCTACATCGGGCATTGGTACGAACTGTTCGATCGCGTCGATCGCTGGTCGCAGGCTCAGCCCCGGGAAGGCCTGTGGGAGCGGACAGGCAGGTTCTATATCCCTTCTGCGCATCAAGGGTGGGAATCTTTTGCCAACGACACGGCGACGAGGGCGCGGAATCATACCAGCAGCGAGAGCGATAAGCATAGCGCCATCTCCGGGCCCCAAACCTTTCCCGGCTGGGAGGAAGACGACCGCAACGCCGTCTTCGGCGAGGACTACCGCGCGAGATTGGGCCTTCTTCCTCTTCCTCCTCATTCCGAGTCCGAAGCACACGCCAACGAACCGGCCGACTACATCACCTTCCTGCCCCAATTCCAACCGGCGCACACGTTCTGGATCTTCCGCGCCGACGTGTCGGGCTACAGCACGGCGCTCCCCATCCCACCGCGCCGCACCAGCATCGTCACGGCCAGCCGGTTCTCCCGGCGTCTGTTGTCACTCATGCACCGCGAGACGGCGCTCGCGCGGCACAGCATGGCCGGCGAGATGTTCCCGGCCAGCATCGCGCTGCATTACGGGTTGAAGGCCGCGTTTGCGCCCCACCCCATGTACTTTGATCGGCGGTGGAATGAGTCAGCGTATATTGAGGACGTGTTCAACGGACATCCCGTCACGGGCGAGGCCGGCGGGTATAGCGAGAGTGTGTTTAGTGAGGCCTTGCAGCATAATTTCCGGGGAGGCACGTATTATTACGACGCGGCCTTCGCCGGACGGGTGTGGAGGACGTGGTTGGGCTATCGAGACGGCGCGGAGGGTGGTGGACCATGGGAGCGGGATCGGAAGGAGAGTAGTGGGAGGATGTGTTGGCGGAGTGTGTTGCTTCATCCTGTCAAGTGGGAGGAGGGGGATGTCGGATAGGAGGAGGCAGCATGTTTGCTGACATGTCTATCTGTGGCTCATCGAATACGGTATGCTCGAGGAGCGGGGCATCTGAGGCAAGCGTGTTTCAGGGGCAACCGAAGACTAGACTCCGAGGGCGAAGAAACAACATGGATGACGAGATTGCAGGACTGACGGGACTTTGAAGGCGGCGGCGGGCAGGGACAAGTTCGGCGGCAGCAAGTCGCGAAATTGACAGGCGATGAACAGTGGTGACGGTGAAGGCGACGGTGAAGCAGCGCAACCTGAGAATGGGCGTGAGAGGCAGCAGCGAGCGAGAGTCTTTGGTGTGTTGACTGCTTCATGTGAATATCGGCTGCATCACCAGCATACGGAGTACTGTACCATGTCTCTTTCGCGCCTGAATTTATTACCCATGCATCTTCACACTTCTCGGAGGATTTTGAGCTGTGCCTGACAGGCCGGTTGGACGCCACGCGAGAGGCTAAGGGAAATCTGAAGCACGCCAGGCCGAGGGGCGTTGGGAGAGGCGTTGTGGGACGTTGAGCTGCGGCAGCGCTGAATGGCTGGCTTCACTTTCCCCTCACCTTCGTCTCCCGAACGCCACGCCACGCACGCTCACTGTTTCCATCGTTTCCATCGTTTTGCATTCTGTGACCGGCCGACGCGGTTCGAAGATTGGTCTCAGCAGGCCGCCGACTGTAGACTGTGGCCCTGGCCTGCCTCAGCTGCCGACCTGATGCTGGCCCATGTTCGTCAATGTCACGTTGTGCGGGCGAAATGGCTGAAAGCAACCATGCTGATTCGGCTATCGAGAGGGCTGCGTTGATGGTCACCAAAAGATCGAGGACCTGCATACCACCTCATCCATGCAAGTCATGCCACACCCCGGTCTGCTGGCGCCCGTTTGCTGCGACCGCATGGTTGAAGGGTTGTTCCCAGATGGCCTTAGGAAACCTTATCATGCCATGCCACTGGCCGTCTCGCAAGTCGTGTTGCACTTCGTGCCTCGAATGCTGTTTCCGACTCTCTAACTCTCCCCGAACTCAGACTCGACGACCTCGACACCCTGGGCTGGACGCACACCGCAGGGCAAAGCGTGCCAGGCCGTGTTACGATGTTCACCTTGTAACAGTCTCAGGCTGCCCTTGATTTCAGGGATCTAGAGCCGAGTCGCCAGGTCTCTCGCTTATCACCATCCGTTTCCCGTCACTCATTTGTCAACGTTTTAATCGGTTCAATATTCCTTCCTGGCTGGCCCGGGAGTCCATCATGCCGGCGAGGTGGTTGTCGATTCGAAAGAGAAACCCTCTACATCAGCACGATCCGGATTTACCACCTCCGGCAAAACAACAGGACTTTGATTTTGCTTTTGGAGAGCCGCCTTCAGCTCCTCAGACCGACGCGGCCAGAGTTGGGCCCAGGCTCGTTCAGATACGCCCAACAACATCTGGAGGCAACACAGGCAAGAGGAAACCACGGGTCGAGGTGCCTTCAAGACGACCACGGACTACAGAGGCTCATAAACCCTCGCCGCTGCAGAACCCCAATGGTATCTCGAGGTCGGAGGACAGCTTTATAGGCCTGGCCTTCGGTAGCCCAAGCCATCCGCCTGCGAGTTTCGGGGCCCATGTCGAGGCGGGCAGTTCACCGGAGCACAACCCTTTCGCTCGGCACCAACAAGGACTCCGAGACAAGACCAGCCAAATGCAATCCAAGAGATGGAGGAAGATTGGCACTCTGTTCAAGCCACGACATGTTCTCAGACGGGACGAAGTGCCATCAGGACCGACCATTGGCCTGCCTACGGGTTTGATAGTGTTAGACAAAGACCCAGCTCTGTCGCCGGACCATGCTGGGCAGGACAGGTTAAGAGTTGGACTACCAGAGCAGCCAACGCGTGAGCCGCCTCCGCCACCCCTCGAGAAGCATGCCAAAACAGCACCGAGAGCTGCAGACTTGCCTGCACAAGGCCCCGAAGACGACTCAATGTCCAGACCTTCTAGCGCAACCGCAACCGACACCGGCTCCATGACCGGAGAGCCTCACAGAAGACCGCCAATACCTAAGCTAGAACTAGCCATCCCCCGCAACCTGGACGCTGCAAAGCGCTCCTCGTCCCTCCTAGCCAGACGAAGCAAGACGTTGGAGAGTTTGAAATCGCTCGAGGACAGCCGACCTACCACCAAGGGCACCATCGACGGTGGCCTCGATGACGGCTCGAAACCTGACTCAAAGCCTCTCACACCACTCAAGCCACCGAGACGGCTAACCACTCCCACAATGACCAGATCACCGGCAGTGAGCAAGTACTCGCTATTTCCAACCCCGTCTCCGGCCCCTGTCAAGTTCGTAGGCAGAGTGCCCGGCACGGAGCATGACACCCTCTCCGCAGGTCAACTAAAGAGATCAGCCACCTCGCCCGCGCGACTGTCTCCGATGCAAGACCACTTCGGCGATGTATCTAAGCCGGTCCCACTCAACCCTAGGAGGATAGACCCCGTCGAGCCATATTTTAACAGCCCGGAGGATAATACAGCATCCACAGACCGTGAAGCACCTTGGAGCTCTGCTCATTCTTTTCAATCATCTGTATCCTCTGCCACGACTGTCGATGAGATATTCTTCGACATCAAGTCTTTCCGGGACTCGAAGGGTGTCGAGGATGGGCATTTTGTCATGACGAGGCCGGACTCTGCACAAGTTGAGCTTGCTCGCACCAGGTCGAAGCGGGCAGCCCCTTCGAGTCGCCTGCGGCAGATGGAGGCTTCGACGTCCGATGAACATCCGTCGGAGCCAGCTCCAGCATCTAGCGGCAGCCAGTCTGCGTTGACGACGAAACATACTTCCGTCAACACGGCTTACTTCGACGAGGCGATTGCTGCGGTGGAAAGACTCACCACGCCGACAGCGGGTATGCCTCGTGTAGGTGTGCAGCCGGCAATTCCGACTGTCACAGTTGCAGACCATGACGACAAGCCACCGCTGCCCTCGCTGTCCAAGCTGCAACCTTCGAAGCCTGCGGACCATCATCTCAGGCTCACCAGTAAAAGCCACGAGGAAGTCAGCCGCCTGATCCCCTCTCCAGTGGTAGAGTCGAAAGAAGATGACTCGCCCAAACCTGACGCGTCACCCACAACAGGCCCCAAGACTCGACAAATCCTGGTCGCAAAGGTGGTCTCTCCCCAGTTTGCCGCGATCAAGTGCGTCGATCGGCCTATTGACGACTCGCCGACCATCCCTCAAGGTCCTCCTAGCCCGAAAAGAACTCCAAAACCTCCCTCGCCTTCGGAAGACAAGCCACCACCGGTGCCCAAAAAGGATGCCAAGTTCATCCCGATGTCCAAGTATGCGCCCAAGGGTACTGTAAACGCCATCGAACGGCGATCCGGCGTCACCCCCACACGACCTGTACGGGCCAACACCGAAGACCTGGCCGTACGTCAGCCGTCACAACGGGTGTCAAAGGAACGATCGGCGACAATGCCATCTTCCGTCCAGACGCAACCACCTAACCAGTCTCCTCAGAGTTCGTCTCTCCGTGGTCTCGAGAAGACGGTCCCGCCTCGTCCCAACCCGGTTGCCTTGAACCCTATGGGACCCGCCGAAGTCGCCATTGCGCGGACGGTCTCCCTTTCTCGCAAACAATCTGCTCGTGTGCACATTCCTGGGCCTCGCCTGGCCGCCCGCCGCGCGGAAGCTCAAGCCTCGGCTCAGACGCAGACGCCGACGCAAACGCAAGCCCAAGCGCAATCACAACAGCTTCAGCGCCAACCCTCGGCCCACCGGCGGAACCCATCCACTGTGTCGCAAAAGTCCAACAAATCGCCCAAAGCACCCAAGGGCAGCATCCTGGGCCACCGACACAACCGGACCACCTCGTCGGCGAAGTCTACCCACCGGGCTTCCAAGGACTTCTCGTCCAAGACCAAGGTTGTCAAGACACCGGCAGATGGCAAATCCGGCGGTTTCGGTAAATTCATGTGGAGCAAGGAGTCCGAGAAGCAACTCATCAAGGAGGCTCGGAAGTGGGAGATCCTCGAGAAGAAGAGCTACTCGCCCATTGTCGTGCAGGCTGAGATGGGTCATCGGCCTGGACTTTCCGTGGGACTGGTCGTGGAGGGTACCTGATTTCCTCGGATGGCATTAGAGGCTCTTCATTTTTCAATTTCATCTTCATGTCGTTATGTTCATCATGTTCTTGTATCTTTTTTCTCATGTCCATCCCGGTTGTTTGACGATATTTTCGAGCGTGCGCACTCCGCCCAGCCTACGTTGCATGAGGCGAGGGAATCGGGCTTTGGGCGTTAGGCATCTGGCCTGGGGCATTATGCGGTGTACGGAGTATTACGGCGTGACGAGCCGGACATTGGAAGAAGTCTCCCCCGGGGGAAACGTGTGGTCCTCATGAATGGGGCACTTCTGGCACTTTCGGGAAGGGGAACAGACATGGGGGATACGGGGATCTACCGTAGGTGGTAAAAGTGATCCTTTACCGGCATGCTACCACTCTTCTACATACCTGATGTATGTTCGTATACATGTACAGAGACCGTTTCGTGGACCAAAAGTACAGAGTGACCAAAGGAAAGGACTGCGTGCCCGGATGGGGGAGAAGAAGATGAGGCGTCTCCTCTGCGGTACTAGAGGTTGTAGGATCAGGAAAGCGTAGGAGATACGACGAGACTGTTGTCTAAGACATCGGTGTGGAGGACTATGTGCAGAAATGCTACAATTAGGGTCAAATGTATCCGATGTATCCTGAAATGATCCGTCCGTCGTAGAGCAAGTACTGTAAGAGCCTAGTACACGTGCCAACTGAGGAGGCACCGAAGATTTAATGCCAGACATTTCGTAGCCCGGGAGTGAACACGGACATGGGACGCGCAACCGACGCGATGAGGTAGATAGAAACACACGAGTAGAATGTAATCAATACATGGCACAATCATTGATTTGATCATTCACTATTGACTCGCTCGCTCATCCCGCTCGCTCGTTCACCCACTCACCCACTCACTCATCCATCTGCCACTGATAACTCAACTCCTCCATCCTGCCCTTTTTCGACCGCGCCTGGAACCACTCCTTCTCAAACCCGTTACTTCGATCGACCCCGTCCCAGCGCCAGCCAGGCAGGATACCATACCGATTCGGCGCGGCAGGCGGGCCGGTATACACCTTCTTCCTGCCCACGGCACTGGCTCCGCGGGATTTTGCGCCTCGTCGCGCCGACCCCGTTCTGTGCGGCCCGTCGTCCGCATCCTCCTTCGCCGCCTCGTCTGCCCTTTTCTGCGCCATATACTCAGCCATGGGATCATCCCAGCGGATCTTGCCCCTCAACTCGTCATTCATGACCTCGTCATCGATGCCGCGCCCCAGGGTCAAGAACTTGGCCTCGTCGAGCTGTTTCCGCTTCTCGTCCCTTTCGCGCCGTTGGACCTCGCCCATCGCGTCCTCCTTGGCCTTCTTCTCCGCGCGCATCTTTTCCTGCTCCGCGGCGCGTGCCTCGGCGCGCTTGAGACTCACGTCGATGCGCCGCCCCGTGGCGTCCCTGTAGATCGTTTCTTCCTCCTCCTCTGGTCCTTCCGATGACGCGGCGGTGTCTTTCGTGTATTTTGATCTCTTCGCGTTCGCGTTCGAGTTCGATTTCCGTTTCGACCTCTCCAACCGCTCGAGTTCGGCCGCGGCCTCGGCCTCGGCCTGCATCTCTTCGCGACGGATCAGCGCGGCCGTGTCCGCGGCAGTCTGTAATCCGGCTTTGGCGCCAGACTGCATGCGCGCTGGTGCCGTCGTGGTGGTGGTGGTGTCGTCGGGCGCTTCGACGATCGCAGGGGCATCCTCATCATCAATGCCCTGTTGGCGGAGGCGCGATTCTTCAGCCGCCTCGGCGAGGATGCGGTCCGCTTCTGCGGCGGCGGCCGAGTCTCCTTCGTCGCCGCCCTCTTTTGGTTGGCGTGGTGATTCCGTAGATCCTGTAGTCGGAGTGCCCGTGGCCGTGCCCGGGGCCACGACCTTCCACGCGCTGGCGCCTTTCTTTTTTCGAAACTCGGCCGACTTGACGTTCGTGTCGAACGTCGGAGTGTCCTCATCGTCGTCGTCTGCGGCCGCTGTTCGTCGTGAAAGAGACAGCTCTTCATCGTCGTCCGCGATCACGAGCCCGCCTCCCGAGTTGGACGAGTCCTTGTTCTTTCGCCGCTTCTTCTTCGGGCGCGCTGAGTCTTGGAAGTCGGGTGAGGTGGTCCGGTCATGGGAGGAGGAGGAGCCTTTGGCATTTGAGGCGGTCAGGTAGTTCTTCGCCAGGTAGGCGGCGAGATTGGCGCCGGGCATGGTCGTGGCGGCATGCAGAAGATGCAGAAACGAAAGAGAGGAGGCCAACTAGGGGATCTGTCGTGTACGCAGACGGTACGGCGAGGCGCCTTCGAATCTTTCGCTGGATTAATTAGCAAGGCTGCGATGGACCGGCGACACCACTCATGTTTGCCGTGTTTGTCGTGTTTGCATGATTACAGCCTGGCTACGTCATTGTTGACCAACGCGTCACATGCAACGGGTACGATCTCACTCGGGCTTTGTAATTGTCGATATTGAATTTCTAGGACATAACCCATGCTATTGAGCAGCCATCTGTGATGACTCCAACGCCGACCATCAATTGTCAATCTCAGGTAGCCTCCAAGGTCATTCATATCCTCAAGAAGCGCCGTGCCGTTCCCGTGATGATAGTGTGTTGATACAGCTTCGCTTCCCTAATGAATTCTTGGGGTATCTCGACGAAATGAAAACATGAAAAGCACTCGCATCTCAGTTGCGGTGTTGCTCGATCATTACAAAGGGTGACAAGCCAGCCAACAACGCCGAGTCCAAGGTGAATCACAATCTCAGGACCAGTTCCCGGTGTTTCGCTGCTCAGGTCAAGTGAGCATAGTCGACGAATTCGTAGTCGTTGTCCTCATCGCTAGAAGCTTCGGCCTTCTCTTTGTCGTCGACCACGTCGTATTCCTTGGTGATGAGCTGCTCCGTCTCCTTGTTTTCGAATCGCTGGACGGCCTGGGCGATGGCCTGACTCAGGATGTCACGACCAGTCCGAGGACCCGTTGCATGATCGTAGCTGTACATGAAATCTGCTTCCACGGGTAGGGGGGCGTCGGACGCGTCTGGGACCTCCTCTTCCTCCGACGTGTCGGAGACATGAGCCAACGGGCCGTCCATAGCGTCGACGACCTCATTGCGAAAAGCCTTGCGAGCGAGTGTTGCAGCCTGGCTTACGGACTTGTTCTGAAGGTCGTGTCTGTACTTGGCTTCGCCTTTGCCGATCCGTCGATCCTGGTCTCGTCGATTTGGTCTGCCGAGGCATCTGCGGCAGTTGTCCTCATGCTGGGTATGCTTGTGGCAATGATGGTCTGAAGGCTCATGGCCTCCTCTTGCCCACTTCTTGTTGTTGGTCTTCTCACGGAGGTATGGTTTGGCTTCGCTGCGGAGGTCGTTGGCGAGCAGGGCAGACATGATGGTAAAGCAAGGCTCGATGGATAGCTGGGAGAGGTACGTGTTGGAAAGTAAATGGGAATATGTGATGAGGGATGTGGTAGGGTTGATGGAGTCTGTAAGCTGGACGAGCAGCTAGTCCTGGAAGTGGGTGTAGGTTGCCAACGAATGACGCGTGCAGGTGCGGACAGTCGTAGAAGAGGAAGGAACAAAGGAGAGTGTTCGCACAGGACAAAGTGACAGGGCGGGTTATCAGGTTGGAACAAAGAGATTCAGAAATCACAGCAGAGCTGTGGCAGGGTGAAAGGCAGAGCAGAGCAGACAGATAGCCGGGCTACGGGAGAGTCCTATATGAAGGTCGGGTGAAGCCGCAGTGAGGATGACGAGGGAGAAGGGGGACTCATGGTGTGTCACACGCGTGGCCCCAACCCAACACAACCCGAGCTTGTGGTGATGGCGGACAGTACCGAAAGCGGGCACCGGGTTGATTGGGATGGCACGGACGGTCACCAATGCTGGAGTCCTGACTCCTCAACCACGGCGCCAAGGGCATGTGTTGTTGACTCGTTGAGATGAGGTGGAGGCGCTGCCGGCTGATAGCCTGATAGAGGGGATCATGCACCACGCATGCATGCGAGCCACAAGCGCGACGCTGCCAGTGCGGGATGATCGCACGCGGGCGAGGAACAAGCGGGTGATTGGCCCAGGCGACACCACTATCGGCGTCACCCACGCTGCTAAATCCGATCACAATCAGCGATTCGAGACCCAAAGCAAGTCATCTTGTGGCTTGCGACCGGGAGATCAAGGCACGCAGGGGCGCCAACAAGGGAAGCTCTGAGTTACGGACTGCCAGGCTTCCGAGCTCAGCAGCCAAGCGAACAGTCACGCCGCACTTGTGCTTACTGCCCCTCACTCGTCTTGCAGGGGGCTGCCTGAGCCTCGGGAGGTATGGGAGTTGCACTCCGCCAGCAGAGGAGTGATGTATGACTGTTTCATTCCAGCGCGCGGGAGGATGCGGAGTACCATGTCCGTACATGAGCCATGCTGCTGGACAACTACTCATACGAGTCTGCACTGGAATGGACAGGCACGGCCGGTACTCGTAAACAAGATCAGCAACACAAGAATATGACCTCATTTCCCGGGTTGGGGAGCGCCATGTGATGCCTCTGCCTCAGCCACTTGTTCCTCGTCGGTTCCTCTGCCACGTTCCAAGTCTTTGAGACTTCTTTCCATGTTGACAAAGAAGGCCCTCCGTAACGGCAAGGGCGTTGACGATGATCGTCGACTTCATGACGTCCTCTGCGTGCCCTGATCTCGGTGCCCTGCTCGCCGACGATGACTCAACTCTAGCTCGTTGTCAGAAGCCTTGCAGCTGATGTGTCACAGCCTGCCAAAATTCCGTCCCTGAGGCAGGTCGAACCTGTTCCTCCACTTGGCGCAAACAGCATACGAGTACGGTACTCGATCAAGATGCGGTTGAGGTCGTCGTACTCAGGGATCTAGAACGACTGCACTTTCCAGGCGTATTCATGGTAGCAAATGCCACAGCATGATGCAAGCCAAGTTTCCAGTTGCACCAGGAAGAAGGGCGTTGCTCGCTTGTCGAACATGGCCATAGATGCTGATGGGATCAACGTGTTCTAACACAGAATACGAGGATGTAGGCAGCCGAAGGAAATCATAATGCAGTGCTGAGACGAAGACTCAGATGAGAACTCCTTCACCTTGGATGCATGAAGCATGCACGGAGTACGCTTGTCCAGTCTCGCCCCCTCCTCGCTGAGAAGAGACTGCGAGTGCTGCAGCGACTAACCCCATATTTCCAGCCTCATACGTTGTAGCGGGCGGTGCAATCATGTCGGAGCGTGGGACGTTGCCTGCTTATGACTGATACGGAGACGTCGAGGCCAACGTTGCGCTAGTTGCACATTCGATGGCGAACCCGAAGCATCTCGACTACCATCCAGGACCTCAATAACTCAATTACAGGCAATGCGGCCCCCCCTGGGATGAACACAGTCTCAACTCTGGAGGAATTTGTAAAGGTTCCGGTAAAGTGCTTGAGGTCATCGTAGGAGGCTTGGATCAGCCCATCTCGCTCTCCAATAGCCGTCATCAACGGATCTCGACTAGTTTCGCATATTCCTTCCAGTATTCATCCCAATGGCAAATAAGGGGATCTCTTGGGTGTATTGGGCGTTCCCGTGTGATGGTATAGCCACGAGCATTTATGAAGTGCGCTCTGGAAAGCTCCAGCTCGTCTCCCAGCCAGTGTCCGTCGAGTGCGCTTAGACAATAAGCATTCTGTTGGCCATACGCCTCCCCTAAGGATGTCGTCTGCTCAAAAGTATCGTGCGCGTGTTTGGATGCATACGACCTCGGACATCATCTTACGCGTCACGGTCGCTTTGTGTGTCATTGTCACTGTCCTCATCGGGTAGATGATCAGGAAACCAGCCGTAGACACCGAAATCGACAGTCACCTCTTCGATACCCCTGGCCTCGTTGACTTCGACTCCTTCCGCTCGCAGGCGCTCTGCCTGTCGGTTCACAGCTGCACCATCATCCCCGCGCGGACTGATTCCACCTTTGGAGTTGACCACCCTCTGCCACGGCACATTTTGATCGTGGAAGACGTATTGATCTGGATTCGCAGGGTCAAATGTTGGCAAGTGCTTCAGACACACGCCGACTTGCCTCGCTCGTTTAGGGAAGTCGAGCAGAAGCGCGATATGTCCGTAGCTGGTGACTTTGCCGTAAGGGATCTGTTGAACCGCAGAGTAGACTGCCTCGTACCACCACTGCGCTTCTTCTGACTTTTCTCGAGCCATGGGTTCGTCGAGAGCAAGGAGTACGGGGGGTGCATATGACGTGGAGGGAAGCTGTCAGAGACCCGGATGCATACACAGTAAATTGAACAAAACGTGCCCCGCCGAATCTTGCGCCAACGGCCACACACCCACATATATACACCACCGATCCCTAACCCACACCGGCACTTTCCCCCAGCCTTTAAAGGCAGGAAAGCAACGAAATGTTGGAGTGTATCTGAAGATTACTATCGACTACCATGGACTACAAGATCCGGCGCAACGATGTAACTAAATAGTGCGCGCTGCAGTGCACGTGACCGGAGCCAGGCTACAAGGGCGAAGTGCAATAGTAGAGATGTCCAGGCCTACTATGTACACGACTGCATCGCGCCCGGCTAGCCTCGCAGGATGAAGGATGGACGACGGGCGGAGTGTCTTGTGTGCCTTTGAGCGAAGGTGGGAGACGTTTTCGGCGTGTCAAACGAAGGCGAATCATGCGCGGCAGGTTTTGTTTACTTTTCCTTGGCAGTCCCTGTTCAGTGTCGTTCGCCTTCCTCTGCCATGAGTGAATGATCGCGGGTCTGGCATGATCGATACCCAGCGATTCTCCCCATCTTACGTGCGGCTTCTGCCCTCAACATGGCCTTCCGAGGAACGGAGAGTCCAATGGATTTCGAATGGCAAGGTCATGGCCCCGTTGATCCCACTTCTCCCTTTCACCGACGTATGATCGACATGCAGGCGAAGAAACGTATGTTTTGCAAACAATAATCCGTCAACTCTGCTGGTGCTGACGCTTGCAGGCACGCATACCGACTTCATGTCACCCCAGAAAACCTCATTTCCCGCCCTCCGCGAACCCAACAACCAGCCGTTCTTCTTCTCCGACGCCCCAGCATCGTCGCCTCAACCAGCGGCGTTCCGCACACCATCGTTTACAACGCCCCGAAAACCCTTCGACATTGATTTCTCGTCACCTCCGGATAACTCGTCTCCGTTAGGACAGACAGACAACGATGAGACGCC